TGCATACTGGAGTAAGTCACTATATGCCCCCAGTATTTACACATGGTTATGTCTCACACATTGCTGCCTGTGACCTTTTCATATAAATGTGTGTACATGTGGGGGCCTATATATTGCCCTGTGCATGGGGTATATATCAGGGTAGTGGGTGAGATATAACTTTGTGTATATACTAAGGGTATATTGCCCTCTGCAGGGGTATATAGAGGTGATAATTCAAGGAAGGGCGCTATTGAAGCAACCTGGTATTCAATAACACCTCAGCAGTGCCACAGGCTGATAGCTTCCATGCCACGCTGCATTGAGGCAGTAATTGCTGCAAAAGGGGCCCAAACCAAGTACTGAGTCCATATGCATGCTTATACTTTTCAGAGGTCCGATATTGTTCTATGTACACTCCTTGTTTTATTGATTGCATGCAATATTCTAATTTACTGAGATTGGGGATTTGGGGTTTTCATGAGCTGTAAGCCATAATCATCGCACTTATAAAAAAACACAGGTTGAACTATCTTGCTTTGCATGTAATGCGTCTATCTCATATATTAGTTTCCCCTTTTACGTTGCATTACTGAAATAAATGAACTTTTATATATTCCAATTTTTTGAGTATCACCTGTATTAGTCTTATCTTTAAATAATACACTCTTCAAATGGGCTTTAAAATGCATGGTTTTCCCTATTGTGAACAGTATAATGACACAATGCTATTGGTCTGGTATACTTCATATTTCTGGGGCTGATAAGCCACTGGACATCACTGATATGGTCATTCTCAGTCCTTGTGTCTCACTTCCTCCTTCCCAAGCCCCTTCATGTGTCTTATCCCCCCCCCCAACCCCTCCATTTGTCTTAATCCCAATCCAGACCCTCCAAGCATCTAATTTCCCCCATGTGTCTCATTTCCCCCACCAGCCCCTTCATGTATCTTAATCCCCACCCAGACCCTCCATGCATATAATTTCCCCCCAGAGCCCCTCCATGTGTCTCACTTCCTCCCTCCCAAGCCCCTTCATGTGCCTCATTCCCCACCACCCCCTACATGTTTAATTTCCTCCCAGCCCCTCGATGTCTCATTCCCCCCAGAACCCCTCCATGTTTCTCATTCCCTCCCCCAGCCCCTCCATGTTTCTAATTTCCCCATAAAGCCCCTCCGTGTCTCATTTTCCCCCAAAGTCTCCCTCCATGTGTCTCATTTCCTCCCAAAGCCCCTCTATTTGTCTCATTCCCCCCTAGCCCCTCCATATGTCTCATTTCCATGACTTTGCCGCACATCTCAGTCCAGCTTCATCACTAAGGCGCGGCCGCACTGTGATGAATACAGGGAGCAGGGATATGAGGTGATTTATATCCCCACCAACTCCACACAACCTATGGCATGCTCCAGAGCCGGTGGACCGGACGGAGGTGGTGGCGGAGCTTGGCCATGCTACATGAATTGACCGTCAGGAGAGGAGTACTGTGCGCTCCCCTCCTGCCAGTCATTTGAACATTGCGCCTCACGGGTGCTAATAAGGACTGGGCAAAGTGTTATTTCAGGGTTGTACTTAGCACTGAGCAGTGTTTGTTTGAATGTAAGCATGTTTTTGTTTGGACTTGTGTGTGAATGTAGGGGTGTACTTGTGTGTAGTGCTGTGTGTTTTTTTTATTTTTTTAATTCTTTATTTTTGTTGTGCAGGTAGGTAAATTTTGTTGACGGTCGCCACAACAGCGTATTGCAAGATATAAAACATTTTAACAGTGGCATGAGAATTCGCACACATTTTTTTTTTGTTGGTTATGCTTAAATATACATATCGATGTAGTAAGATTAGCTAACATACCATGATATATACAGGCGATTAGTCATGAATGCTAGTTCTGCTATGTTATCGTAGTCGAGCTTTGTAAACATGGTTAGCAGTTATTAAATGAGTAAATGCATTTAAAAGGTAAACTACGTGTATATTGTTTTATCTTTTGAAAGCAGTTAGTGGGGTCCGCACAATTTTAAAAGGTAGTGCTGACATGCATAGGAACACATTTGCAATGGATAAGTAGCTGTTTTAAGATTAATGGTTAATGAGTGAATTGCCTGTGATTAATATACTGCAGTGTTTGCTCCCCTGCGCTAACCGGCTCTGCTGCGATTTGCCATGGCCATACTGTAAAACATACTGTAGTGTGTGGTCTTGCAGTGTCCCTGCTGCAGGGCCTGCGGGGACGCAGATAGCCCCTGTGTCAGTCCGTCTTGGGCCAGGTGTGGTTGATGGCATTGTGCTGCCCCAGTGCCGCCCATGGTGAATGGGAGCCTCTTAAGTGGGCCTGTCCCCCTAAAATGTACTATCAGACCATAAACTATATACAAAATGAAATGCAAATGTAGTGTGGTAAATTAACGGAAAAGAAGATCAATACAACAGTGTGAGTAGCCGGCGAGGCTCGGCCATCCCCTTCGGAAGCGCTTAGGTGGTGGCTACAGTCTGTGCAGCGTGGGTGAGCCCCAGGCCATGGTCCCCCTAGATAAGTCCGGGTAAAAGGAGAGAGTCATGTCCTCAAAGGTGAGCGGTGTAGTGTTCCTAATGGCGGCCATTACTGCTTCTTTGTCCTGTCGCTTCTGGAATTTGACTATTAGATCCCTAGTTGCTGCTGATGGGGCCGTTGGTGGTTTAGGGATTCTAAATATGCCGTCGAGGCCTACTCCCTTGGCTTGCTTTGGTGGCAGTATTTTACTCACCAGGCGCCGCATGAGGTGGGGGAGTTCAGAGTCTGGAACTGATTCTGCGATGCCCCTGACCTTAAGGTTCTGGGCACGTCGTGAGTCTTCCATTGCTGCCATAGCCCCTTCTACCTTCAAATGCTGCTGTTGCAGCAGTTTCATCTCCTGCTGGAGGGAGGTCACTTGCCTGGTATGCGTGTGGGAGTTTTGCTCCACGGTGTCCACGCGGTCCGTAAGGCCCTTTATGTCTCTCCGCATGTCAGCTACGTCCTCCTGAATATTTCGGCGGAGCTCCGCCAGCAGCTCCCTCATTTCAGCTTTCGTGACCGGAGCTGTGTCAGGCTGCGTGGCCGGCTTTGGGTTAGGCTTCTCCGGCGGCCACCTTGCAGGTGAGCAGGGCTCTTCTGGGTCAGAGAGCAGGTCGTCTGAGTCTTCTAAGCCTTCTATGTAGGCGGCCATGTCAGGCTCTGGTGCGCCATGTGCCCGCCGCCACAGGTCTCCTATGCTGGCGCCCGGCCGGGGCAGATCGGGCTTGGATTTTTTAGTCTTCCTGCCCATTACTGCTTCTTGTGTGGGCAGCTGGGGTGCTTTGGGGGGGTGATATTTCCAAGGTTAATTGGTCTTTTTAGGCCGATATCGCCAGGAGCTCTCTGCAGATGCGACCTGTCGGTTTGGCTGCTGGCTCCGCCCCCCCACTGCTGTGTGTTTTTATGCACTTTTGCCAATTAAAAGCAGTGGTTTACTTATGTGTAGTTTTTGCTTTTGAATGTAGGAGTGTGTCTGTATATAGTGTCGATATTTGAAAGCAGGGGTGTATTTATGTGTAGTGTTGGCTTTTGAATGCTGAGATGTTTGCACAGATACTCACACTAACACATACAGATGCACAGAATGACACATACAAACACTGACATACACACAAAGGCAAATACAGAGACACACAAATATATATACAGACAAAGATACACAGGTTCACACAAAAAAGAGAAAGATACACATACAGACACAATGAAACATACAAACAAGAAGAGACACACATACAGACGCACAGATACACACACATAGACAAGCAGATACACAGAGAAATACACACTCAGATACACAGACAGACACATATGCAAAATCTACATCTTTGAGCCACCCTCCCTCCTGTTTCCTACCCTTAGGGTGCTTCCCTGTGGTAAGGTCGGCTGGCTCAGAAGGCTGGGAGACAGAGGATCTCCCAGGCTGCACTCCCATTCTCTCCGCCGCCTTGCTATCTCTTTTTGATAGCTGGGAGGAAGTGACTGGCCGGCTGTCACTTCCTCCCAGCAATGACATTAGAGAGGACTGGTTGGGCTATTAAAGCTCTACAGCACTGACCGGGTTCCTGAAGACACTTTGCCAATGAGTGGCCCTAAGTGCATGGGCCACCTCATGGCCCATCTCATCCTCAAAAAAGTGCAGCGCAGGGGAGACTGCCCCTCCCTAGCTACGCCACTGCACAGCTGCACCAGCCCTGAATATATGAAAAGATGCTGATTGACAGGGCAGCATTTGGCCCCAACCCCGACCTGCCTTTTTGGCTGAGATCACCTGATTGACTGAGAAAATACATTTTCGTTATCCCTCAAAATGTTGTGACCTTGCATTTGTTAACAGGCTCCTCCTGTGCCTTACAAATAGGGGACCTTGTGTCCCCCTCTTGTGACCACATGTGGAAGATATTAAACAAAATGAATGGAAGCCACCAAGCATTGGTGACAGATGGGCCTCTAAAAATAACAGGAGCTACAGTTATTACAAGAATAACTAAATATCATTTGTCAGCCCCAACCCATTTGCAGCAGGTGGGGCCCTAAGTATACATTGGTGGGGTGGACCTATTGTCCCCCACAGTGCCCTACCATTGGCATCAGGTGGGGGGCCTGAAAACCAATCCATCTCCACAAAGCAAGGACTCTGAGTTTGAGTCAGAGCGCGCCGATTAGCTGACTTAGCCAAGAGGTGGGGCTGTGAAAGACAATAGATCCACCTCCTACTTTATTAATTAGGATCCCAACCCGACGCCAATGGGTGGGGGCTGGGAGGATACTAGGTTTCCCAGTTTATTTTATAGCCCCCACCCAGGCTCCAGTTTATTTTATTGGTGCCCACTCACAGGGCATTGGCAGGATACTAAGCACCCCATGTTAATAATTCTATTACTTGCCCCACCTGTGCCTTTATTTGATTAGCAATTGGGATCAGCCGCTGTCTCACCGTCTTAGACATGGCCACAGGTAGACACCAAGAGTAAGTAACAGAGACTACAGGCTGATAATTGGATTTCATCTGATTAGTAACTTTTATTTTTTTTAATACAGTTAATCAAAAAAATGAATGGTAGGAGTTTATCTAAAATGTGGAATGCAATATATTAATATATACAAAGGTTTATCATCTCATCACTCCATGGTAAATAAATAAACAGCCTCAACATCAGAGTTGATGACTGCTCTTTCAATCTATACAATTCGAAGAACAGGGAGAGAAGATCACAGATCTATTCCTTTACAGGATGACGTGCTAGTCCGACTTTTTATTGGAGATTGCTTCTTCTCGTTGACCAACATTTCCATTTGATATCCCGTTACTGTCCGGCTGTAAAAAAAAATTAAAAACAAAAAACTGCATTAAGTAATGGAGACTTTAAGATAAATTATTCGAAGACACTTAAACATGCCCACAATTTAACTGTATCATCTATGAAAATGTTTTACTCTCTTATTTAACGCTAAAGGATCACTAAAGGCGCCCAGACCACTTAATCTCAATGAAGTGGCTCTGTAGTTTTAACCCTGCAATGTAAAACATAGACATTTTGTAGAAACTGCCACACATCTATTGGCTGTTAATTATTATTAGTAACAGTTAAATATATGATGTATATTTTTTATTCTTATAAAAAAAATAAAGCAATATAAAAATATTTTGAAACATTTCTAAATATTAAATAATTTCAAAGCTTCTCTAATAAAATATTAAAACCGGGGCCATAGAAAGGGACTCAACTTGATTGAAGTTTAGAGAATGCAACATAATAAAAGCTTGCAACTTTTTTCCTTTTGGACAAACTCACTTTGAATCACTTTCAGGAAAAAATAAGAATAGTTTGTTCTGTGTCTAAGGAAAATTACTCTGAACGCCTCCCTCTAATGTAAAACATGGATTAGTAAACTCAGAAACGGTAAATTGGTTACTTTTTGACATGTGCACTTCCTTTGCAAAATGTGTGATGTGGCTAAAGCAGCTGCAATACCTTGCTGGTCCCATTGCACTCATTGGTTTCCTTTTTGTTTGGATCTGGGTTGTTCTGAACTGCTTTCTTTGGCCAGATACGGTTGATGAATGGTGCTATAAATGGATACACAATAGGCTCCAAAAATTTCTTGTAAACCCAGAGGAAGATTGGAATGACAATGCATGGGATACACACCATTGTACCTGATGTGTAGGAAGGAAAGTAAACATTATCTCCAAACTAGAATGCACATATACTTACTGGAAAAAAAAAATCAGTCTACATTGTAGCCATGTTGAAAATGTTTATGGTGCACGTGAATCCAATCAAAATCCTCCCAAATAGTTCACCTAACAAGTTTCATCAAAATCATGACTGCACTTATCTTCCATTATTCTTCTAGCCTCACCCATTGCAGTAATCTGAATTAACTGGGTGTTTTAGGTCAATTAATGAGACATGTGAATGTGGGAGGATATCTGTAAAGGATTGGCATTATGATGAATAAGGTCAAAGTCACAGTTCTAAATGTTATTGTTTAATTAAAGCAAACGGTGTTACATTCTCTAGAACTACAGTAAGATTACACTCACACCATTATTCACATGTCACTTTTCCGTCACAGTTGTGCCATCTTTGCCTATAGTTTACCAACATAAACAAACTTACAAGCCCAGTGTGACCTACTAACGTGAATACAAATACAAAAAAAGTCCTGCGCTCACTCCAATTACTCCAATTAGCAACGACCACAGTACACATCAGTCCAATACATACAGTAAAAACCAAAGAAAGGTCAATGTAGAACCCACCTAAGAGGGTCTGCCTTGACGTTGGCAGGCGGGCATTCCCTCCAATGGCCATTGGAGTAACTAAATGACCTCCATTTGTTTATATATATACACATAGGGATTTAAAAGAGAGCGCAGGTAACTTTTTTCTTTGGACATACTAACGTGCAACGCCCAATGTTAAACAAAATGAGAGATGCTGTATGAATACTGGGCTGATGAATACTATAGTCACAGCTTCCGTCCAAGAATAGTGAGAGCTTGCGTGCAGAACTTACAGTAATTTTGTGTCAATGTCAATGTTTTAGCACGGTATTGGCTGTGTGTGAGGATCATGCCCACAAATAGTCAGATTAATATATTGTGCTGGCATTTTGGGCAGTCTTTATTTCATGATGAAGCATATAATGGTACATATACATGAAATGAGATAGGGGCCACACAATGTATTTCCAAGCCAGCCTGGTATCAGACTCCCTCCCCCCATATGTCACCTTACCCCCAGTATTCCCCCTTTCCATATACTATAATTCCATATCTCCTCTCCCATGGACCAGGATGCCATTCTGTCATGTGATCTCCCCATACATCCCATGGGGGGGGGTGGCCGAGCTCTCCCTGCAGCCCTCCCCAGGCGCCACACACTGCATTGCCGGTACCCACCCCGAGCCCTCGGACACTCACTGACCGGCTGTGTTGTGTCCACGTCTGATCAGCTGACCGGAAATCACCAGGCACTTCCGGCATCGAGGCAACGTCACATTCGGCGACGTCTGGCTGCATTGGCCGTGTCAGACGTCACTTCCGGTGATGCGTCCGCACCAGAAATTACGTTTCACCGCTGGAGGCGGAGCGCTGCGCAGGCGCAGAAGGACAGGTAGGGGAAAATGTTCATCTACAGTACGGGGAGAAGAGGCCACCTAATGCGCGTGCGCGAAAGCCATCCGCCGCACACCGGGACACACTGCGCCTGCGCCAGGAGCCACAAAGGGGGGGGTCTGTGCAGTATATTGGGGGGGTTGTCTGTGCGGTACTGTGGGGGTCTCTGTGCAGTATATTAGGGGGTCTGTACCCGACATATTATGGGGGTTTGTGCATTATATTGGGGGGTGTCTGTGCAGTATATTATTATGGGGGTCTGGTACGGTATGTTGGGGGTGTCTGTACAGTATATTATGGGGGTTTGTGCGGTATATTGGGGGTGTCTGTACGGTATATTAGGGGGTGTCTGTGCAGTATATTAGAGTCTGGTATATTAGGGGGTCTGTGCAGTATATTGTAGGGTCTACGGTATATTAGGGTCCCATTTTTAGTATATTAGGGGGTGTCTGTGCAGTATATTATGGGGGTCTGTGCAGTATATTAGGGGGGTGTCTGTATGCAGTATAACAGAGTGTCTGTACCCATTATATTATCGGGGGTCTGTGCAGTGATATATTGGGGGGTCTGTACAAATTATATAGGTGTCTGTACGGTATATTATGGGGGTCTGTGCAGTATATGGGGGTGTCTGTGCAGTATATTATGAGGGTCTGTACGAGGTATATTAGGGGGTCTGGCACGAGTATATTAGGGGTCTGCAGTATATTAGGGGTCTGTACGGTATATTGGGGGTCTGTGCAGTATATTGGGGTCTAATGCAGTATATTAGGAGGGTCTAGAGGTATATTAGAGAGTCTGTTTTGGTATATTATGGGGGTCTGTGCAGTATATTGGGGGTGTCTGTACGGTATATTATAGGTCTACGGTATATTAGGGGGTCTGTGCGGTATATTATGGGGGTCTGTGCGGTATATTGGAGTGTCTGTGCGGTATATTATAGGTGGTGTCTATTGCGGTATATTGGAGGTGTCTGTGCGGTATATTATGGGGGTCTGTGCGGTATATTATGGGGGTCTGTGCGGTATATTATAGGGGGTGTCTGTACGGTATATTAGGAGGTGTCTGTGCGGTATGTTAGGGGTCTGTGCGGTATGTTATAGGGGTGTCTGTGCGGTATGTTAGAGGTCTGTGCGGTATATATTGGGTGTCTGTGCGGTATATTGGGGGTCTGTGCAGTGTGTTGGAGTGTCGTACGGTGTATATTATGGGGTTTGGTACGGTATGTTGGGTGTCTGTGCGGTATATTATGGGTGTCTGTGCGGTATATTGGGGATGTCTGTGCAGTATGTGGGGGTCTGTGCGGTATGTTGGGGGTCTGCCAGTATATTAGAGTCTGTACAGTATATTGTAGAAGAGGGTCTGCAGTATATTAGAGGGGTCTGTGCAGTATATGGGGGTGTCTGTACAGTATATTATAGAGTGTCTGTACAGTATATTATGGGGGTGTCTGTGCAGTATATTAGGGGGTCTATTACACAGTATATATTATAGGGGGTGTCTGTGTGGTATATTGGGGGGTGTCTGTGCGGTATATTATAGGATGTCTGTGCAGTATATTGGGGGTGTCTGTGCAGTATATTATGGGGGTGTTTGTGCAGTATATTGGGGGTGTCTGTGCAGTATATTATGGGGGGTGTCTGTACGGTATATTAGGGGGTGTCTGTGCAGTATATTGGGGGGTCTGTGCAGTATATTAGGGGTCTACAGTATATTAGAGGTCTGTGCAGTATATTGTGGGGGTCTGGTGATATATGGGGGGTCTGTGCGGTATATTGGGGTGTCTGTGCAGTATATTATGAGTGTCTGTGTGCAGTATATTAGGGGTGTCTGTGCGGTATGATAGGGGTGTCTGTACGGTAGATTGGGGGTCTGTGCGGTATATTGTAGAGTCTGTGTGTGCGGTATATTAGGGGTCTGTGCAGTATATTAGGGGTGTCTGTGCAGTATATTAGGGGCTGTACATTTATATTATGGGGTCGTACGGTATATTATGGGGGTCTGTACTGCAGTATATTGGGAGTCTATTGCAGTATATTGGGGGTCTGTGCGGTATATTGGGTCTGTGCAGTATATTATAAGGGGTCCTGTACGGTATATTAGGGTGTCTGTGCAGTATATTAGGGGTGTCTGTGCGGTATATTAGGAGGTCTGATACGGTATATTAGGTCTGTGCGGTATATTAGGGTCTGTGCGGTGCTTATATTGGAGTCCTGGCTGCGGTATATTATGGGGGTGTCTCACGGTATATTAAGGTGTCTGCGGTATATTGGAGGTCTGTGCGGTATATTGGTGAGGTCTATTGCAATTATATTGGTGAGGGGGTCTGTGCAGTATATTAGGGGTCTGGTATATTATATAGGTCTGTGCGGTATGTTATGGGGGTCTGTGCGGTATGTTGGAGTCTGTGCGGTATATTAGGGCGGTCTATTACGGTATATTATGGGGGTCTGTGCGGTGTCTTGGGTCTGTGCGGTATATTGGGTCTGTGCAGTATATTGGGGGTGTCTGTGCGGTATATTAGAGGTCTGTGCGGTATATTGGGGTCTGTGCGGTACTATTATGGGGTGTCTCTGCAGTATATTAGGTGTCTGTGCGGTATATTGGAGGTCTATGCAGGTATGTTAGGTCTGTACGGTATATTATGGGTCTGTACGGTATATATTATGGGGGTCTGTGCAGTGTATATTAGGGGTCTGGTGCAGTATATTAGGGGGTCTGTGTACGGTATATTGGGGGTCTATCTGTGCAGTATGTGTGGAGTCTGTGCAGGGTATATTAGGGGTCTGTACAGTATATTAGGGGTCTGTACGGTATATTGGGGGTGTCTGTACGGTATATTAGGGGTCTGTTACGGTGTATATTGGAGGTCTGTTATATTATGGGTGTCTCTGCGGTATATTAGGGGGTGTCTGTGCAGTATATTGGGGAACCACTGTACGGTATATTGGCTGAGGTCTGTGCAATTATGTTAGGGGTCTGGTAGGGTATATTGGAGTCTGTGCGGTATATTATGGTGGGGTCTGTGCGGTATATTAGGAGGTCTGTACGGTATGATATTAGGGGATCTGTGCAGTATATTAGGGGTGTCTGTGCGGTATATTGGGGATTATTGTCTGTGCGGTATATTGGGGGTCTGTGCAGTATATTATGGGGGTCTGTACATTATATTAGGGGTGTGTACGGTATATTATGGGGGTGTCGTACGGTATATTGGGGGTCTGTACAGTATATTAATGGGGTCTGTGCAGTATATTAAGGGGTCTGTGCGGTATATATTAGGGGGTCTGTGCAGTATATTAGGGGGGTCTGTGCAGTATTATATTATGGGGGTCTGTACAGTATATTAGAGTCTGTGCAGTATATTGGGGGTCTGTGCAGTATATTGGGGGTCTGTGCAGTATATTAGAGAGGGTCTGTGCAGTATATTATGGGGGTCTGTACTGATATTGGGGGGTGGTCTGTACGGTTATTAGGGGGTGTCTGTACGGTATATTGGGGGTCTGTGCAGTATATTTAGGGTGGGTCTGTGCAGTATATTGGGGTGGGTGTACGGTATATTGGGGGTCTGTGCAATGATATTGGGGGTCTGTACGGTGATATATTAGGGGGGTCTGTACACATTATATTAGGAAGTCTATTACATTATATTAGGGGGTCTGTACGAGGTATATTAGGTCTGTGCAGTATATTAAGGTCTGTGCAGTATATTAGGAGTCTGTGCGGTATATTAGAGGTCTGTACGGTATGTTGGGGGTCTGTGCGGTATATTTTAGGAGGTCTGTACGGTATATTATGGTCTGTACGGTATATTGGAGACATCATGCAGTATATTGGGGGTCTGTACGAGGTATATATATTGGGGGTCTGTGCAGTATATTGGAGTCTGTGCAGTATATTGGGGGTCTGTGCAGTATATTGGGGGGTCTGTGTGGTTAGATGTGGGTGGGCAGTGTATTAAATGGAGGGGCTGTGCGTTAGATGTTTGGGGGGGGGTCAGTGTATTAAATGGGGGGCTGTGCAGTATGTGGGGCCTGTGTGTTAGATGAGTACAGCCCTAGTTTGACAACAAAACATTTATTTCAGAGATCTCAGATGCCATGGCCTGCTTTTTGCTATGAAAGCCCTGCCATCTAGTCACTCACCAGGGGTGGATGAGAAACTGCACCCCAGCCAGAGGGACTGCCCCACATCTGACACCAAATCCGTCTGTCACTGAATTCTGTAATCTCTGTATCTTTGTGCATTGTGTATGTATAGTACTCCCAATTCTTATATTTAATACGGTGTCTCTCTCACAATCTTTGTGTCTGTCTGCTGTAAATATGTGGCACGCAAGTCTGCATGCACTGTGTCTGTTATGCCATTTACTCTAACCAGTTTTTTATTTTTGTGTGTGTCTCAACTCTGACAAGCATGTTCTCCTATGGGACACAAAGTACATGAAGAGGAATGAAGAAGCCCATGTTTGAGGCTCGTGTCCAGGGTTTAGTATGGAAGTGCCACGTGACAGGTTTCTCCTGTTTGCACAGTGACTTCAACATTTTGTACTGTGATCACAGGTAGGTAACATTAGGCAGTCCAGATGCTGTGAATTACATCTCCCATAATGCTGGCAAAGCATTATGGGAGGTGTAATCCAAAACATCTGGAATACCGAATGCGTATGAATGAAAAGTATGGTGTGTGTGAATGGTCAGTAACAAGGGTTGAAGCCTTGACGTGGCGTTACTGCTCACATGTGTATCCATGTGCCAATTCAACCAATGTGAGTCACTGTAATACTTTTAAGGTAACCAAAAGTACTGTGAATGTGGAAAATGAAACACCTGTATCACCTAAACACTGCTTATACTGTGACCGTATCACCTAAACACTGCTTATACTGTGACCGTGTCACCTAAACACTGCTTACACTGTATCCGTGTCACCTAAACACTGCTTATACTGTGACCGTATCACCTAAACACTGCTTACACTGTGACCGTATCACCTAAACACTGCTTATACTGTGACCGTATCACCTAAACACTGCTTATACTGTGACCGTATCACCTAAACACTGCTTATACTGTGACCGTATCACCTAAACACTGTTTATACTGTGACCGTATCTCCTAAACACTGTTTATACTGTGACCGTATCTCCTAAACACTGCTTATACTGTGACCGTATCTCCTAAACACTGTTTATACTGTGACCGTATCTCCTAAACACTGCTTATACTGTGACCGTATCTCCTAAACACTGCTTATACTGTGACCGTATCTACTAAACACTGTTTATACTGTGACCGTATCACCTAAACACTGTTTATACTGTGACCGTATCTCCTAAACACTGTTTATACTGTGACCGTATCTCCTAAACACTGCTTATACTGTGACCGTATCTCCTAAACACTGCTTATACTGTGACCGTATCTCCTAAACACTGCTTATACTGTGACCGTATCTCCTAAACACTGTTTATACTGTGACCGTATCTCCTAAACACTGTTTATACTGTGACCGTATCTCCTAAACACTGTTTATACTGTGACCGTATCTCCTAAACACTGTTTATACTGTGACCGTATCTCCTAAACACTGCTTATACTGTGACCGTATCTCCTAAACACTGCTTATACTGTGACCGTATCACCTAAACACTGTTTATACTGTGACCGTATCTCCTAAACACTGTTTATACTGTGACCGTATCTCCTAAACACTGCTTATACTGTGACCGTATCTCCTAAACACTGCTTATACTGTGACCGTATCTCCTAAACACTGCTTATACTGTGACCGTATCTCCTAAACACTGTTTATACTGTGACCGTATCTCCTAAACACTGTTTATACTGTGACCGTATCTCCTAAACACTGTTTATACTGTGACCGTATCTCCTAAACACTGTTTATACTGTGACCGTATCTCCTAAACGCTGCTTATACTGTGACCGTATCTCCTAAACGCTGCTTATACTGTGACTGTATCTCCTAAACACTGCTTATACTGTGACCGTATCACCTAAGCACTGCTTACACTGTGGCTGTATCACCCAAACACTGCTCATACTGTGACCGTATCATCTAAACACTGCTTACACTGTAACCGTATTGCCTAAACACTGCTTACATTGTATAAAAAGGGTGGTATCCCAGATGACGATGACATCACTGACCTTTACATTATCTTTAAAGTGACTTTGTCACCAACTCGGATCTTTACATAATTAGCAATAATATGCCTCCATCCACTCAGATCTGCTGTCAGCAGAGCATAGGGCAGCACTGTGCACAGCATCCTGTGATTCAGTATCTCCTCCCTCTGCATGCAGACACTGAACTTTCCTCATAGAGAGTCATTGATTCAGATGCTGATTGGCCAGGGCTGTGTTTGAATCATGCTGGCTCTGCCCCTGATCTGCCTCTTTGTCAGTCTCAGCCAATCCTATGAGGAAGCACTGTGATTGGATCAGGCTACCACATGTCAGCAGACTGCTTGTTTTTCTAAGTCTAACAGTATGCATATTTACAGCTTCAGGTTTGAATACAGTAAGATTTTTACTATATTTATGGAGGCATGAGGGGCCTTGGGGGGCTAGATGGTGGTGTTAACACTGTAAGGTCAGGAATACATGTTTGTGTTCCTGATCCTATAGTGATCCTTTAAACATTTTTATCCAATTACAGCAAAAAACAACTTTCAAGATGGATGAAGCACCTCCCATGATGTCTACTCCTAAATCATCCAAATGTATGTATTCTTTTGTAATGATTTTCCACAAGATCATATTTGTATTATTGCAGTATATATGAAACAGGTCAAATTCACTATAATAATATATGTAACCTAACTTACACAGTGCACGAGCACACACACACACCCACGCACCCACACACCAAATCAACCAAACAAACAAAAGAAATTAAAATAGCTCGACACAACAAATGCTTTAAATGGACACTCCAGTGCCAGGAAAACAAACCTTTTAATAAAATGTATAAGATACATTAAAAAAACAAACTGTTTTTTATGTATCTTAAACATTTTATTAAAGGAATATTGGCCCTTAAATTTGTATTTTTGCCAGATACCTTTTTTATATTTTTATTTTTTATTTTATTCTTTTTACTGTTTTTACCTGGTCACTGAATACTCTGGATTCCTGACTCACACAAGAATCCCAGGTGGGGATTATACCACCTACGCTACTATAGTGAGCAGCATTCTCTGCTCACTCATATGTGAGTATTATACTTTTTATACATTTATTTCTGCTGCTACATACAGAGAGCACTATTTGTTTCCTTTTTTCTTTCTCTCCCCATTCTGAGGACCTGTGCCACCAACCTACCTATATCCTACCAGTGGGGGATCAACGCCACTGAAAGCAATTTACTCCTGAGCTGGCTGTGGCTCTACCATAGGTAAGTGGGAGAACTACCATTAAGATTATCTTCGTCTCTCCTCTACAGTTTTACACGATTGGTATTTTTTCCTTTTTTTGCATGTTTCTGCAATATCCGGACATTACCTCAGATTTCATAAAAGCCTATTAAACTCTTCTTATCTTTACAATCAAACTTGGACTTCTTTTATTTCACACATTTTATCAGGACTTTATTTTATTCATACATTATATGTAAGTACGCATTGTTATTTAATTTTGGCCCGACCTAATATTCTGTTTTTACATTCTACATATATAACTGTATTTCATTTTTAAATTCTCAATTTAATTCACTTATCTAAAATAAACCTAAGCAGAAACACTCATATGTTTTTATCAATGTTTGGTTAAGTTCTGCAAAGTAGCACAAATATGCAATATCTTTTGCCAGTAGAACTGTTAACAACTATATAGTTCTCAAGGAAAAAAAAACAAGTTTTCAATTCTGGTAATTCTGTTCTCATTCCTAAAAGTTTAACACCATGCATATAGTCAGTCTTTATTACTGCGAGGCAGTTCTATGTCTAGTCGCACGATGATGTCACAAAACAAGCAGCACTATAAAATGAAAAATATTAATTTTTAAAGAGTTTTTTGCTTGAACTATATTTACAATAGTGTAGATAACATTTTCCGTGCTTTACACGCTGTGTAAAATATTACCAAAATGACAAGGGATTGTGAATTATACCAAATTGCTACATTTATGCTTCTATATTCAAGCAGTGCTTATAGGTAATTTTAAGTATTTTTTGCAAATGAGCACTTTTTGCCCTTTACTAGATGTTGGTGTTTAGTGAATAAACCCCAAAGCCTGTCTCAGGTTATTTTGCAATATTTAATGTGCCACTAGGTGTCTTTATCCTGACTGTGACATCATGTGATAGCCACATATTAAACATGATGCCACCACATTTGAGACATTTGGTGACATTGGCTATTTATCAGCTTACATCTCACTACTTAGGGGATGACAGAGACTCTATTTTCCACCAAACATCCAGTTCCTTGCTGTCAGTGGGTAAAGTACATTCTCATTCTCTATTGACATGTGTACCTGATGTATGAAGCTAGCAGAGGTGTATATATAAGAACTATTTGGATTTTGTGTGTTCTGTTCCTATAAGTCTTGTGTGTGGTATGTTTAGTATGGTATGCTAAATATGCCAATAAATTGGGCTGGAGCAGCTACTGCCCTTCTACATATGGTGATCTGTAAAATTCTTCTACACGGGATCAGTAGTGAGGTCTTCTAAACATAACTTAGACCAGGGTTGTCCAAAAGGTAGATCCCCAGATGTTTTAAAACTACAACTTTCATGATGCTTTGTCATTCTAAAGGCATACAAAAACACACAAAGCATCATAGGAGTTGTAGTTCTACAACATCTGGGGATCTACCTCTTGGTCACCTCTGCCTTAGACAGTTTGCAGAGCACTTAGGGTATATAGCTAGGATACTAGGCCTTTAATGATCAAGGTATGAAATACAAAGAAAATACAATTTATCAAAAGTAAAATAGATCAAATTCCCACATTTTGAATATTCTCAATATGCAGGATAATATTATAACATATGTTTAACCCCTTAAGGACACATGACATGTGTGACATGTCATGATTCCCTTTTATTCCAGAAGTTTGGTCCTTAAAGGGTTAAATATGTAAAGAACACACACAATTTCTTTGTATAATGCTCTCCATTTAAGATTTCAAATAATCTATCAGTTGTTCTGTGGTGGACTAAAGCGTATCAACTGTTTTGAGTAAGTAGGGAAATAGGGAATCTTTAGGGAACCAGGATAGGATTTCAAAGCAAGTGCAGGTTGTATAGAAACATAGAATGTGACGGCAGATAAGACCCATTCGGCCCATCCAGTCTGCCCAATTTTCTAAATACTTTCATTAGTCCCTAGTCTTATTTTATAGTTAGGATAGCCTTATGCCTATCCCACGCATGCTTAAACTCCTTCACTGTGTTAACCTCTACCACTTCACCTGGAAGGCTATTCAATGCATCCACTACCCTCTCAGTAAAGTAATACTTCCTGATATTATTTTTAAACTTTTTCCCCTCTAATTTAAGACTATGTCCTCTTGTTGTGGTAGTTTTTCTTCTTTTAAATATGGCTGATAGAATGGAATAGGTATAATTAGTAATCTGTTATGATTCATTATTAAGAAAGTACGGCAATGTCAGCTTTACTGTGCTAGTTGTGACCTGAACGTTTCAGCCGATTTTCAAGGGGAATTTATTTATTATGTGTGTTTTACAGATTCCTCGTTTCTCTGGGATATTACACAGCTACCATCTAAGCTATTTAACGATTACTCACCTAGGTAAGTTATAGTAATTTACTTCACCACTGGGGACAAGGATACTCTAACAAGTGATTGTGTATATGTAGATACCATGCAGTAGCACAGTAGATAGGGATAACTGAGTAACAGTTACTATTCTTAGGTGTCATACCTCATTCAGGCATACTGTAGTAACAGTGACTGTGTATTACTGGATACTATCTAGTAGCACGGCGGATAAGATTACTCTATTGAACAGTGACTGTTCTTAGTGCTGGGGAATAAACTGGTGCTTTTTAAATACCAAAAATCATAATACAGCAATACTGCAGACATATATTGTCTGATGGTGTCAAATGAAGACAGATGCTCTAGTACCTAAGTGTTCTGAATGTCATGTAGTAATATTGAGAACAGGTATATTCTAGTAAGAACAACTGTTCTTGGTTACAACGTCACACTGCAGACACGGATACTCTAATAATAGTGACTATCCTTGGGTATCTCTCAGTCACACTGCAGACACGGATACTCTAATAATAGTGACTGTCCTTGGGTACCTCTCAGTCACACTGCAAACACGGATACTCTAATAATAGTGACTGTCCTTGGGTACCCCTCAGTCACACTGCAGACACGGATACTCTAATAATAGTGACTGTCCTTGGGTACCATGCAGTAACACTAAAAACAGAGTTACTGTAATAATAGTGACTGTCCTTGGGTACCACGCGGTAACACTACAAACAGAGTTACTGTAATAATAGTTGCTGCTCTTGGGTACCGTGTAGTAACACTACAGATAGTAGTTATCTAATAATAGTGGCTGTTCTTGGGTACCATGCAGTAACACTACAAACACACTTACTGTGATAATAGTGGCTGTTATTTGGTACCACACAGTAACACTACAGAGTTACTGTAATAATAGTGGCTGCTCTTGGGTACCGTGTAGTAACACTACAGATAGTAGTCATCTAATAATAGTGGCTGTTCTTGGGTACCATGCAGTAACACTACAAACACACTTACTGTGATAATAGTGGCTGTTATTTGGTACCACACAGTAACACTACAGAGTTACTGTAATAATAGTGGCTGCTCTTGGGTACCGTGTAGTAACACTACAGATAGTAGTCATCTAATAATAGTGACTGTTCTTGTGTACTGTGCAGTAACATGATCGGTGTATCTTTTTTGCTAATGAACTTAATTTTACAGTTTACAGATAGGTAAAATTGTCAAAGTATGATAAAACTACATCTACATTGAATTGGAGAATGTTTGGTTTGGATGTCACCCACAAGTGGCATCATAGGGATTTTTTGATTACCGAACACAGAGTTGTAGTGAATTGTAAAGCAAACTGTGAATTGTAGACGATCTCTGCTAATTTGGAACTAAATCCTCCAGTTTATCTATAGTCAAAGCTGAACTATGTTCGTTTGAATTTTGCAACTCACAACAAATCTGTGTTTAGTGAATAAACCTCTTATAGTTTGATATTAATAGTTTATAACTATTATTTGAATGAATATTGCTTTATTTTCTAGTAATACCTATGATTTGGATGGTATGGAGTCTAACCCCGGCACATCCTTCAATAAAACCATATGCAGCCTTTTCTCTTCCTGCCGGCATAGTTTGCGCTTACTATCGAATGGCTACTACGTTGTGGATGAAGATTCGGTTTTGTATAACGATGATGGAAGTGTAGTCATCAGTCCAACAAAACCTAATGTATCCTACAAAGAGAATTCTGTCAGGTAAGTATAAATATATGTGAGGTTGGTTTCGGGGGTAATACTAAAGTTACTTTTTTGAGATTCAAAAAAATATATATATTTTATTTCCTATTTAACCATTTTAGTGAAGGTTCAAAACCTTCATATTTAGATTAGTCTGTAATCTGCATGCACATTTCTCCAATACAAATTTACGAGTATTTCCAGACACATTTCCATATCAATTTCCTACACAGGATCTAGGCCGTTCAAAATGATTTACCTACAGAAGTGACCATCAAAGTCTAAGGGAATTTGTGTAGATAAATCCGTTAGAAAGTTTTTCTAACCATGTTGAATCATTTGGAAAGTGTCTTATATTGAGGCTTTAGATCCTTAAATAAATACATCTTTGAGCAGCCCAGTTGGACAATTCTGAAGAAGTGTTTATAGTATAGGAGAATTCCCAAGGCATTGATAAGTTTCCCCAAGATGATTCCCATTGAATTCAGATCCCATTGAGTTCTCATGAGCAGGAAGGCTGCATATAGACCACGGAATTTAGAAGCTGATTTGAAGAACAACGGTTTAATTTTTATTTATTTTTTAAAACAGAGGAACGTTTACATCACCGGAACACATACAGGCTGGCCCAAAGGTAGGTATACATTGAATCAATGGAATTCATCACAACAGATTATATGGGTAGACATCCAAATTGGCAGTTACATTTCAGGCATTTAAATATCATTGTGGCAGTCAGAAAGGAATGTTGCAACGTTGATGGAAGACGTTTCAAGCACTTATGAGATTAAATAGTGTTAAATAAATAGAATTGTAATACAATTCAAATAAACTATACGGTATACCTAAGTTTGGGCCACCCTGTATAAACTGGATTCTCTATAGGAAAAGGCTGGCAACTTTTGGACTTAGAACAAGTACAAATAAGTGGCTTTTTTAGGGCACAAAAATCACCAATCTCTGTGTCTATGAGCCTACTCATAAGGCAGTGTCTGAAGGATGTAATTGCAGCTACCCTCATTATGACCTGCACAGCATAATGAAGCGATGACAGGAGATATGTGCATGACACAGTGTCCTTATTGTCACCAATACCTAACCAGTCTGTGCTATCCTGAGTCCCCTCTTTTAAAAAAATATGTTTTTATTATATACACTACATTCGTTGTTATTAGAATCTCTCACATTACTCATAAATAACATGGTACCCTAATGTTATGCACGCAGAAGATGTATTTAAAATATACTGCAGTCACCAGCCGGGCAGAATTTACATATAAGCCCCAGAGCACATACCGAGCATGCGCATTCACATATCAGTCTGACAGTATTGACTGTCCATTCACAGCACCAGCATCAAGCCCAGAGCACACAACAGCCACCTCAATCACTATCAAATGAACAACATTAAAGGACCACTGCCGGTCTGGATGGAGAGGAAGGGGTTAAACTTACCTCTTTCTCCAGCGCCGGGCAGGGAGCTCTCCTCCTCTTCGGCTGAATGCGCATGCGCGGCAGGAGCTGCGCGCACTTTCGGCCAGTCCATAGGAAAGCATTCTCAATGCTTTCCTATGGATGCAAGCATCTTCTCACTGTGAAAATCACAGTGAGAAGCGCGGAAGCGCCTCTAGCACATACCAATAATTATTTGATTCCTTTACCTAATTAGCTTTTGATATGTCTAGAAGGATATCCAAGTATCTGCTGCCTTTCTACCAAGCCAAATATCCAGAAATTATTTTACCTGTTCCCCTTTAATAATAATGGGTTAGTAACAGTTGGTTGCTTTATTTGTAGATCTGTTCATGGGATGCTTGGAAATAAAAAAAATTTAATAAAGTTAAAAAAATTTAAAATTATTCTCTTGCAACAAATATCAGAACATGCCATAGGAAAGGCTTTGCTCTATCTGCCAGCCCACAATGCAATCACTGTTGTGAGTTGGGGTACAGTGCTTTGAGGTATTATTAATCCTTACAATGGCTTTGTTTTACCCAGGATCTTTCGAAAGAGGCGTAAACAGTTAACGCTAAGACAACTCGAAATTGACAATATGGAGTGCAAGGAATCAGATCTAGAGGATGACGACTGGGATCGTCAGAGAGGAGATTACAACTTCAGTCGAGGTCAGTGATGTTTATTATCCCACATTGTAATATCCATCCACAGTGATGGCAGAAATATTCCACCCAAGAGAAGAAGTAGACACAAATTGTCCACTTGTTTTACTACAATAAGAGCACTGTTGAAAATCGATTTTAGTTGGTGGAGTTCTGAAAACTCCAGAAAATCATTCCATAAGTTAGCACCCACTCCATAATTTGGTACATAGTGAGTTTACCGAGTACGTTATATCTCACAGGATAAGAAGTTGGAGTATAGCGAGTAAATCTTCCCAATACTGTCAGTTATGGGTATGGTTCTATTTATTCTGTTAGCCCAGGGTTATTCGCAAAAGTAACAATTTGAATTTCAAACTTAAGGCACAAATAGTCAAACTGGCAACATTTTCTAAGTCGGCTATTCTTCCACGTTGGTTACTATGTCCTTAAATTTGAAATTCACACTGTATGTGAAAATTGTCGTAAATTCAAAGTAAATTTCATATATTAAGGTTTTACTGAAAATAAAAATCTTTAAGTCAGCTATGCTTTCAGTTTGGCAATTTTGGCATTAAACTTGTAATTCACTTAGAATTCCCGACAGTATACACATTAGTGGGCGTGTGCGTAACATGGAATTCCATAGTCTCTGGTCGTTACAGTGCTACAATGACTGAAACAGCTGCGGCAGTCATAATAATGTGTGTTCATTTAATACAAAATTCAAATTACAAAACCCATCACTCTTGTTATTATCTACTGTCCACCAGTTTAAATGGATATTCTCAGTACTAGAGTCACTACCACTCATTATGATAGTTAGGTACAAGGAATAATTGGGTTCTCCCCCTGTTTTTTATTAAACCTTTTTGAGAGGTTTCACCAAAAATGTGCCTTCCTGGCATTCAAAGCCTGACCCATCCCCTACAGCTCAAATAATAAAGACGTTTTGAGTTCGCATTATCTGCACAAAGCTATCTAACTTTACAGTACAATTGGCTCTAAGCACTGGACTCACAGTCACTATCTCCATTTAGTAGTTTAGTTTACAATAATATGTTGGCAATATAAAAATAATTGTCTTGTTTTTTTTAGATTGTCCCTTTAAAGTCCCCATTAATGACCTGACTTTCTGCTATTAATTTAAACTGCAATATACACTACTGATTCATTCTGTGTCATTTAGTAGCTGTATTGTATTCATGTTGCTCAGAGCAATGTTTAAATGAGAATCATTTTGCTGCATTCTCCCCTGTTTAACACTTCCTAAATAAAATGAGAACTATATTGTCCAGCATTACCCATGTTTGAATTTACCTATGTTAAACATTTTTGTTCATTTTATAACAGAAATTATGCCGGTAAAGTCGTATCCTCTCGGGGTTTTAGTCGATCCCACTGAAGATTCGGTCACCGCTGATGAAAGACAAGACTCCCTGTCACATTTTTCATCTGAAGAATTCCTGAGCATTAACAATGGTAGGAACATAAGGGGCGTTGAGGATCTGAAACCCAGACTGATACCGCCTAAGTGTACTTAGTAAGGAAGGAAAGACCCAATTTTAAGCCCAATTCCCTCTGTCTCTCTTTTCTATCCCAATGTCCCTTTTTTCTATGAGCTCCATATGGTTGGAGTGTCTGTGTGTATAACAGAGCTCCATAGCAATAATACTCCTAGTAATGTCTTTAAACTACAATAAATGTGATTAGAAATCAGTCTGCATAAATAACATACAATGTTCGTCAAACATCCTGCGATCGCCCACCCCCAATAAAAGAAAAACCTTAACTGACCTCCTCACCCTAATAATATTGAAGGAGCTCAATAAATCCAATACCTGCAATAAATAAATAAATCATACTTCCCTTTAGAAGTCACTCCAGCAATTGTTTAAATACCCCACCCAAAGTCCATGGGGGGGGGGGGAGACAATGGCATGTCCATCCTCCTTCTTGACTTTTATTAAAGGGATACTGTACTACTGCTCCCCCTGCCTCCCTCTCACTGGTAAATAGAGGGTTAAAAACCATTTATTGACATACCTTATCTCAGTGCTGATGTCCCTTGACGAGCAGGGTCTAATGCGCATGCGTGGCAAATGCCACACACGCATTAGACCATCCCACAGGAAAGTATTTAATAAATGCTTTCATATGGGGTAAAATCTGACGCTGGAGGTCCTCATGTAGAGCATCAGATACCGGACCAAAGGTCCGTTATAATTCAGTCCAGCCAGACAGACTTAGAGCTGCAATGTAAACACTGCAGTGTCTATGGAATTAAGTGCAAATGGGACAAAGCACCCAGACCATTTAAATTAGCTGATGTGGTATGGGTGCCTACAGTGTCCCTTTAAATAGCCCCTTGTTGTCACCCAACAGAAGATACACTAATTAAATGAAAACCTTTTAATTAGCCTAATAACATATTTGCATGTTTTGACATAGATTAGTAATAGCCTTTATTATTAAAAAAAAAAAAAGTACGTGCCCACTACAGTGAGAATTCAAACTTAAATTTAAACTTGAAGGATCATTATAGTGTCAGGAAAACAAAGCGGTTTTCCTGACTCTATAGTGCCCTGAGGGTGCCCCCACACTCAGGATCCCCCTCCCATGGCACTGAAGGGGTTAAAACCCCTTCAGTTACTTACTTTAATCCAGCGCCAGGCTCCCTCGGCGCTGGTGATCTCTCCTCCACACGCCGACGTCCGCTCCCCCGTCCAACGTCAGTGGAGCCGAATGCGCATGTGCGGCAAGTGGACTCTGTGCGCGATGGATGCGAAATTCACATCCAGCGTCGCAGATGCACATCTAGTGGCTGTCCGGAAGACATCCACTAGAGGCTGGATTAACCACAAATGTAAACATAGCAGTTTCTCTGAAACTGCTATGTTTGCATCTGAAGGGTTAAAACCTGAGTGACCTGGCACCCAGACCACTTCATTGAGCTGAAGTGGTCTGGGTGACTATAGTGTCCCTTTAACTTTGAATCCTCACTTTAGTGGATAACCATGTAACAGTTTAAATCCAGAAGATTGCATTCTAGAAACAGAATAGCTGCTTACTTTTTTTCCCTCTTGTTTCAGAATCTGATAAACAGAAAACTTGGATTGTAAAAGCAGCTTTGTTTTCCTTGTTCTTCTTCATATTGCTGTGTGCAAGGTAAAGGCCATCTAGAACTCGGCCCAAGATATTCCTGTGACCTAGGAAACTATGAGTTTGGTGTCATTCAATATCGAGAGAAAGGAGGAATATAGATTCACCTGCAAAATCAAAGAATCCCCTTTCTATTGCTCATATCGGTACACAAAAAGCCTCAGATAATATAGTTATATTCAGCAAGCCTCCCAACTGTCCCAATTTCGTTGAGACAGTCCAGATTATCATGGCAGCTTTTGGGGATACCAGGGTACTGTCCAGAACGCGCATTGTGTGAGCATATCATTAAACACGCTTACACTATGTTCAAGGAACTAGAAACCTGCACTGAAACAGGGCGCCTTGCAGGGTCTGCCCACTTGGCAGGCAGCTTGGAGTGCGTTCACATAGGGCTGATCTGCCAGTAATTTATGGGCGGATTTGTCCCCTAAGGGGCACATCACATCACTGGCACGTCCCCTTTTACCTCCTCCTACCGCATCCCACTTCTCGAGACACTGGAGTTGGGAGGTATGTATTCAGTATCCAGCTAGTCAGCCACAGATAGCCAGGGTCAGATATATATATATATATTTTCTTTCTGATATTCTTCATATTTTCCATGATCAGCATATACCCAGACCACAGCTATCCACGTGTGGAATGGTACCACAATGTTTAGATACCTGACGTAGTTTCAGAAAGGGTTCAGCAATTGTTGGTTGTCATGAGAACCGCATTTGGAGTGGTGGTGGGAAGGGGAATTTCAACAGCAGACATATACATCCACCACCAACTACACAAGTGACAGGGACAGACGAAGGGCTTTAAATTTGTCTTTAAAAGTTCTTTTTTGCATGATATTCATTATCATGTTTATTATTTGTAGGTTTTTTATGGCAGGACACGCTGGTCTGCTGGCAGCTTTGCTCCTGCTCGTTATTATCTGTAAGTAATGGTTATTTACTGGTACCTTCTATGTTCATAGCAAAGGGATGTTAGATCATATAAATAATATTTAAATAAGATATGATAATAAACAGAGGTCACTTTGAGAAAGTCCTAAAAGATATGAATACTCTGATTCAACCCATTGTAATAACAGACCCTCTCTGTTATTAAATGTGTTCATATTTCTTTTAAAAAATTATACATTTTTAACAATTAAAAAAAAAAAAAAGATTGCTTGACACTGTTTGTGCTTAATGGAAGTAGGGTAAAGTAGTTACTAATCACTAGACACAAATACTACAGGCACTGTCATAGGGAGCTCACAAGTGGCATAATGTGACAAAAAAGGCAAAACTAGGAGAATGAAGATGCAATTGCACTGAAGTGGTTAAAATATTTTTAATTAATTTCATGAAATATATTCAATGTATTATAACCACTTCAGGATCACTCTGTACATGGTCATCCCTTAGGGTAGGCTGGCCAGTACAGCTGGCAATCAGTCTGGAACACATGCAAGCTTCAAGCTGGCTTGCGCTCTCTTTGTTATGGCATTGCCCCCCACAAATTATCAGTGGCACTGAATGCAACACTTACATATCCAACACATTGCTGTTACAATAAAAGACAATATTACGGATTGATCTGACAGTATGGGGACTGGGTGTTCATAATGCTTGGGAAATAATAAACTAAGCATGTCTTCACTGCAGACACAAATAAGATCTGGAAATTGAAAAGTTGGTGAAAATTTGTACAGAAGTAGGTTTCACAGAGCGCAAGGGGTAGAATGTATTACTCAAATAAGAGGCTCTTATCAGATATTTAGCAGTGCTTAGTAAGCAGCCAGTAATGTAATCCCCATGTGTCTGAAAAGAACTGCTTTTAGATGTAAGCACTCTTCAGCGATCCTCTGTGCCATGCAATACTGCGGGAGCTGTGCAGAGTATAGCAGGATTGTTAACTCGTTGATCTTTGGATCGGATAGTTGGTGGCCAGAGACTGTGGGTTTCTCACCAAAGAATGAACTGCAGTGAAATATAAAATGCTGCATTAATGCTCCAATAGCCAAATCAGTTAGTGTGGCCAATATTTTGCAATTCAGATTCTGATCGCTACAATGCACTATTTAGTGATTAAACCTAAATCTGTAGATCTGTATCTTCTGTTCAGATACAAACACCCTAAATAATTCTGCTTCTTCCATCTCTAAGCCCAGTCTGTCTGTACCTATTTTACAAGCCCAATGGCTCTAACATGCACTCTCTAATCACAAATGTCTTACTAGCAGGGGAAGCTTTCCCCTGCTATGTACCATGGGACAGAGAAAGATTGAGATGTAGTGAGCGTAGCAGAGATGGGACATATCACATTGTCACTTGCTGTCAGGAAGGCATAGAACTATTAGAGAGAGAGAAGCAGTCGGAGTATTTGCATAATGAGCAAAGTCAGCTAGTGATTATCTCCAAGCCAAAAGCAGTCCTATGTATATATCAGGGCTCAAAATTTCCACTTGCCACTAGCCATTAGTGAGTGAAAATATAGCCTTTTTGATGAATCATTCCATCCAGTATTTAACTGTGGAGCCTCATTCACTGACAAATTGGTTAGTTCAGGTGTGGATTAAAAGGAATATGATTTGGATGAACCGCTGCAAACGCATTTTTGCACAAGTCTGATATATAATGCTGGTGGTGATTCTTTATATATGGGTACTAAGTTCATGGTTTGTGGAGGTAAACATAGGGCATTATATTTTTGCTCACATGTATGTGTTGTTGCTGGGTGCTGTTTGATATGTGGGAGCTGGACTGATTAATGTTGGTACCAGGAGCATTGTTAGGTTGCAGAAGTACCTGGAGCTTGAGCCGAAAGGAAAACTTGATGACCCATTAACTAACAGAGAGCCGGAGATATGTTATGACATATGTTCCCTCCTGTCTACCCATTAGCAGTTTTGTCACCAAATTGCTCATTCAGAAGTTATATAGTATTTTATCCAATTCTGCAACTGCTATAATTGTTGATTTTATCTTTTACAGATTTTGCTCTTCCACAAACAAGAATGACTGAAGCTAAAAGCAATCAAAATGTAAGTGTGTGCAGATAAATGTAAAAATGTTGCATAGAAACTGGCTGCTCTTATTGTACATGATTGCAGTGTCCCCCTCATTGTGCATGATCCCAGACTCCCCCTCCTTCTGTATGATCCCCGGGTCCTCAGTTTGCATGTTTGCAGGCTGTCCCACCGTGTGTATGATTCTTGAGTCCTCAGTTTGCATGTTCGCAGGCTGTCCCACCGTGTGTATAATTCCTGAGTCCCCTTCATTGAAAGTGTTAGGAAGCTGAGTCCTGATTCTCCCACCCCAGTAATTGCTATTCTGAACATGCCAATGAATGCTCAGACATTTCTTGTAAAGTGCCATACCTGAGCATACAGAACCATGGGGATCCAGTTAATTTACATGGCTGGCCCTGACTATGACGGCAAGTCTTGCTACAGACTATAATGAATGCTCCTCTTTCTGTCCTCCTTCTGTCAGTTATTGCATTGGCTTCTTGTAAGATATAGGCATCATTTTAAAAGTCTGTTCCTCGCTTATAAATCTCTTCCTAATACTGCTCCTGTCTACCTATCCTCACTAATACACAAGTATGTCCCATCCAGGCCCTGAAACTCTGCTGAAAACCTTCAATGTCCTTTGTTCATACTATTTAAATCTTCTCTAGGGCTGCACCATTTCTTTAATACTACTCCAGTAGCTTTTCACTACAAATTTCAAGAAAGCTTATTAAGCTGTTAACAGCTTTCTCTCCCCACACCTCACTAACCAGCCTCCTCTCCTGCAACTGTGTCACTACAAAACTAAGCCTTCACTGTAAACTCTTCTTGCAACCTACTTTTTCTATACACAAAGTACATCCCAAGCCTTACCTCTTGTGCCACTTTACCTCACTCCTTCTAGAATGTAAGCTCTCTACACTTTATGTTCCTGTCTGTCCAACTTGTCTTGTTGTAGTCCACCTATTGTACAGCGCTGCAGAATTTGATAGTGTTTTATAAATAATAATATGACAGGTGCGCCAGACATATAATGGCAATTGAATAAATTAAAGTGATTGATAATTTTAACAAAGAAAGTCACAACCTTCCTTTAGTGCATCATTATTTTTTTGTTTTTTTTCATGATTTAAATACCTTCTGAAGTCATGATTTCGACATAAGGGTTTAAGAGGTAAATTGCATTTTTTCATGGAAGCCTCTATGTTGAGAAAGTAGATGCGTTTTTGTTTTTAATAATAATTGAGTTATTGAATAACGTTCTAATTGATTCTTTTCCACAGGTCACCTAAGGAGAACGTCATCCATCACTCTTGATTGCTCTACTTACTATTCAAAATAGAGAAAAGAAACAAAAATGACCAACTAGTTTTCTTATTTACGACTATGTGACTGGAATAGGATCTAAAAGTTAAACGTTTAGTAGGATTGATAGTGTTTGTATGCCAAAAATGTAACTTGTACATAATGTCATCAATGTCATGAATAAGCCGTGACAGATGATGTCTCTATCACAAATAATGAAGGTAACAATATGTTTCTTTTCTACCCATCATTGAGATGTTAAATGTGCAAGTGATTGGGCTTGCTTATAAGTCTACAATACAATACAAGCCCCACTTTTCCTCTGGAGCCTAGGTGTGGCAATATTCTACATTATAACAGTAAACCCATTAATCAAGGGGGTTAGTGGGGGTAAAAATATAATGTCATAGGTTAACCTTCACAAATAGCTTTATAAATACGCATTCATCATTTTAGGAAGAAGTAACACTGTATATCTTCAGCCCCTGCTGATTTTGAACTTATGTCCACTGACAAAGAAATAATCAGTCTATAATTTTAATGGTAGGTGTATTTTAACAGTGAGAGACAGAATAATAAAAATAAAATCCAGAAAAATGCATGTCAAATAAGTTATAAATTGATTTGCATGTCAATGATTGAAATAAGTATTTGATCAATCAGCAAGATTTCTGGCTCCCAGGTGTCTTTTATACAGGTAACGAGATGAGAGTAGGAGCACTCTCTTAAAGGTAGTGCTCCTGATCTCTGCTTGTTACCTGTATAAAAGACACATGTTCACAAAAGCAATCAATCAATCAGATTCCAAACTCTCCACCATGGTCAAGACCAAAGAGCTGTCTAAGGATGTCAGGGACAAGATTGTAGACCTATTACAAGGCTGGAATGGGCTACAAGACCATCGCTCAGCAGTTTAGTGAGAAGGTTACAACATTTGGTGCGATTATTCCCTCGGTCTGTTGCTCCATGCAAAATCTCACCTCGTGGAGTTTCAATGATCAGGTGAACAGTGAGGAACCAGCCCAGAACTACAAGGGGGGGATCTTGTTAATGATCTCAAGGCAGCTGGGACCATAGTCACCAAGAAAACAATTGGTAACACATAACGCCGTGAAGAACTGAAATCCTGCAGCGCCTGCAAGGTCCCACTGCTCAAGAAAGCAAATGTACCGGCCTGTCTGAAGTTTGCCAATGAACATCTGAATGATTCAGAGGAGAACTGGGTGAAAGTGTTGTGGTCAGATGAGACCAAAATCGAGCTCTTTGGCATCAACTCGCCATGTTTGGAGGAGGAATGCTGCCTATGACCCCAAGTACACCATCCCCACCGTCAAACATGGAGGTGGAAACATTTTTCTTTGGGGGTATTTTTCTGCTAAGAGAACAGGACAATTGCACCGTATCAAAGAGAAGATGGACGGGGCCATGTACCGTCAAATCTTGGAAGAGAACCTACTTCCCTCAGCCAGGGAATTGAAAATAAGTCGTGGATGGGTATTCCAGCATGACAATGACCCAAAACACACAGCCAAGGCAACAATAGAGTGTCTCAAGAAGAAGCACATTAAGGTCCTGGAGTGGCCTAGCCAGTCTCCAGATCTTAACCCCATAGAAAATCTGTGAAGGGAGCTAAAGGTTTGAGTTGCCCAACGTCAGCCTTGAAACCTTAATGACCTGGAGAGAATCTGCAAAGAGGAGTGGGACAAAATCCCTCCTGAGATGTGGCCAACTACAAGAAACTTTGACCCCTTCGACTTAGTACTTGATGGCAAAACCTGTGATTGCCAACAAAGGTTTTGCCATCAAGTACTAAGTCGAAGGGGTGAAATACTTATTTCACTCATTGACATGCAAATCAATGTATAACTTTTTTGACATGCGTTTTTCTGGATTTGTTTTTTTTTTTGTTATTCCGTCTCTCACTGTTAAAATACACCTACCATTAAATTATAGACTGATCATTTCTTTGTCAGTGGGCAAACGCTCAAAATCAGCAGGGGTTCATATACTTTTTTCACTCACTGTATCTTTTTGGTTAATACTTATTGTATCATTCAGATGTTCAATTAAAGAAGCAGGGTGATACATGTCATGATAGAGTCAATTGGAACGTTACATGAAATATTGATGGTGGGTCAAAACAATCAGAATATGTATTTATGATCTTTATAAGATCACAAAAGATAAGAATCCTGACAGGTTAAAAAGACTTTGTACTAATACTCAAATTAAACTATACATTCAAACTCCCACTACTCCTGGATGGCAGCAATAGCTACTACAGCCATCAGCCCAAATGAAGAGAATAAAAGCAAAACAAGGTATTGGTGCTCTATCCCAAATCCCTGCACACATTTAAATAACAAGAGGGTAGGGTATCACTCCAATGGCCATTACCTCACCTCTTGGGTGAGTCCTACACTACAAATGACTTTGATGCTTTAACCCCTTAAGGACCAAACTTCTGGAATAAAAGGGAATCATGACATGTCACATGTCATGGGTGCTTAAGGGGTTAAAGCCAAAAGGTAAAATCTCTAATGAAACCGATAGGGATATTTTAAGTATTCTTAACCCTTAATAGGGAACACATGGGGTGGGCGGCAGCACTGTGACATGGCTGTGTAATACAAACACAAACATACAAAACTAAGCCCCGCGCCCAAACCCCCGCTACTACCGGGCGGCAGCAATGGCTACAGTATCCATCAGCCGCAATACATGAAGAAAAGCATACAATAAATATGACCTGCGCACTATACTTCCCTTAAGGGTTAAACTTGTCTAGCTCAATAGGTATACCTATACATCCATAGTGAGAATTGCCGGGCCTTCAAACTGAATTTTAAATTTAAGGTAAAAATAGCTGAACTGGAAAAATTCCCCAGCCATCCAATTTGGACTCCCTGTAGTTCTCACCTTAGTGAATACCTTGTATGGTTACAGGACACTTAGAGCACCACAACTGCTACAGCTTATTGTAGTGTTTGTGGCTCACGGAATATTGTGTTTTATTGGGTTGCCCTTCCTCTGTCTCTCGAGTAATGTTTTATGTCCTCATTATGTGCCCGGCTTTGATCAGATATGAAAGGCTGTGAATAGCTGTCATACTTTCACTGTGGAGTAATCTTGAGCACAGATACTTTATAGGGTTTTCCAGTGAAGTGAGAATTGTCAGGAATTTAAATAAAATTCAAAATGAATTTTACATTTTAGGCTAAAATATTTGAACGGAAAACAATGGTGACTTGGAGAATTTTTCCAGTTTGTGTATACATATCCGTTAAATGTGAAATTCACTTTAAATTAATATGGATTTTATATATATCCGTATTATCCTGTATCATGTTTCAGCTCACTCCATACCAAAAGCCAGTTCTGTCATTATCCTAATTCATGCCACCATTTTTCAGCCCATAGTAAACTTTAATATTAACGGGTTACTCCAAGTACCATAACCACTTCAGTGATTTGAAGTGGTCAAGGTGCCTGCAGTCTGTATGTGCAGCATCATACAGAGATCAACTCTGGCAGTGTCATTACACAGTTCCAGGCTGGTTAATATCAATTCTGTGTAAAATTGGTTTCTGACGCAAACACACACAGAATGTTGTCGACAAAGTTCCAGTGGCGGCTGTGCCGCTCCTGTCCTACCCTCGACCATCCTCTCTGACTTTTTTCCTCCTGCTGCGACAGGGAATGATGTCAGCAGACAAAGATCGTGCTGAGGGAGAACTTGGCATCGGCATTAAAATAAGTGAAAGCATTTTGTTTTGCCGTTTGGTGGTGGCAGAGAACCACCATAGAAATAATTACTACAACTGAAACCAATGTTTAATAAAAAAACAAAAAAAAAACACTGGTTTCCAGTTGGAGTAACCCATTAAAGGGTTTGCAATAAAACCAGCAAAAAGAAGAAAATAAAGTTTTTTTTTTTACCTACCTGGATTAGAGCTTTGGGCAAAGAGCCCGGTCCAATCACAGACTTCTCATTGAGAAGCCTATATTTGGACCGTTTTGCTGGCTCAGAGATCATGTGCACAATCTAAGCTGGCAGGGGGAGGGAGATTGGATAGGAAGTGTGGTGGAAAATGTAATAAAAAAGAAAAAGCATTATGGAGTTTGTTGGGAGGCGGGAGGGCTCAAGAGAAAAGCTTAATATGTCCATTGCCAGCATGCTGTGTGCCCTAACGATGAATGTTTTTTGGGAGGTTTTTTATGCACAGAACTGACATTTGGCAGTCCTGGCTGCTAAAGTCACTTGTGCCAGGGGTGTAACTGGCCCGACACAAAAGTGCAGACTTCCCTGTATGTGCAATTTTTCAACCAGAAACGTTGCACATACAGACTCCCACCAGCATGACCACTTCAAATTACTGACGTGGTCATGGTGGTTAAAGAAATCCTTTAAGTTATTTTATTATTTAATTATCTGATGGGTTAGGGCATGTCCCTTATTTCTGACTTTAAAAATAAAAAATGCAATAATCTTTTACTGCAATATAGCACTTAACAGAATGATCTGTGACATGGGGTGTTATTCACTTAAATAGCGGTGAAATAACAGCTGAATAGCAACTTTAAAACTGTTTGAAAAATAGCTGAAATTAGTAATATTTCCAGTTTAGATAAGTTGGCCTAAATTTTGCAATCCGCTTTTCAATGCACTATTTAATGAATAATCTCTGAATGTAATCGATTTATAGGTCAGTGATTTAATTTCATTTTGCCTATTTTATATAAAATATTTATGCATAAGCACATTTTAACAAGTTTTAGCTAATATATAAAGTTGTTGAAACAATTAGTGCATGTACTGGTATGTGCAGGTACTGAGATTTTTTTAATAAATATATTGAAAACACAATAAACAATGAATTATATTTTTGTTTCTGGCAAGACGGATATTACTAGATGCACTCTAAAAGTTTCTCAATCAATCATGTATAAGAAACTAGTGTCCAACACTTTAATGGTGGGGCTTCACACCATGGAGAATCATAAAATTGTGTAGTGAGGAAGAAGAGATGGTTAAACGGACAGTGTAGGTACCCAAAGCCCCTAATTTATTTTCCTCCTGTTTAATAAAAGCATCTATTACAGGAGAAATCAACACTTATAAATCACCTTATTTACACAGTCTAATCCCTGAAGGTAAAATGGTCCACTAACACTCCTGCTCCAACTCTGAATTTTAAATGGAGGGGATAAAGAGACACACAGAGGGTCTGGGAGAGCAAAGAGACACACAAAGGGGCTGGGAGAGCAAAGAGACACACAGAGGGGCTGGGAGAGCAATGTGACATACAGAGGAGGTGAGTGTGACAGGATTAGGGGGTTCAAGTGACAGGGTGAGTGTGGCATGGTTGGAGAGGATGAGTGACAGCCTTGGAGGGATTAATGTGATAGTCACCCTGTGTAGCAGGATAAAGGAGAAGGAGTGTGACATAGTGATAGAGGATGAGTGTGACCAGACTGAGTGTGAGTGTGAAAGTGCGAGAGAAAATTAGTGTTACAGGATTAGGAGGGGTTAATGTGATAGGGTGAATGTGGCAGAGCGAGGGCAGGTAAGTGTGGTATGGTTGGAGAGGGTGAGAGTGACCGCTTTAGGAGGGGTTAATGTGAGTGTGGAAGGGTGACAGCATGTGGGGATGACAGTGTGGGAGGGTGACAATTTATAGGGAAGTGTGTGCGGGGAGGTGACAATATATGTGTGTGAAGGCAGTGTGGGGAGCGCTGAGTGCAAGGGCAACAATGTGTGTGCAAGTGTGGGGGGGGTGGCAGAGCAAGGGCAAGTAAGTGTGGTATGGTTGTTGGGGTGAGAGTAACAGCTTTAGGAGGGGTCAATGTGAGTGTGGGAGGGTGACAGCATGTGGGGATGACAGTGTGGGGAGTGCTGAGTACAAGGGCTACGTGTGTGCAAGTGTGGGGGTGTGACATTGAGGGGGAAGTGTGTGGGAGGGTGACAGGGGTGCAATGTATAGGGTGACAGTGTGTGTGGCGGGGTGTGACATTGTGGAGGGGTGACGTGTGGGAGGTTGACAGTAGGAGGGCAGTGTGTGTGGGGGGGTGACAGTGTGGAGGTCAGTGTGTGTGGTGGTGGTGACATTGTGGGAGGTAGTGTGTGGGGTGGATGTGACAGTGTGTGGGTGCAATGCATAGGTTGACAGTGTATGAGAGGGTGACAGTAGGGGGCAATGTATAGGTTGACAGTATGGGGGTCAGTGTGTGGTAGGGTGACAGTAGGGGGGCAATGTATAGGGTGACAGTGTGTGGGAGGGTGACAATGTGGGTGCAATGTATAGTGTGACAGTGTAGGGGAGGGTGACAGTGTGGGGGCAATGGATATGGTGACAGTGTGGGGGTCAGTGTATGTGAGGGTGACAGTGTGTGTGCAATGTACAGGGTGACAGTAAGGGAGGGTGTATTTTCCTTCTATTCTTCGGTTCGCATCATAACCGGTAGTTTCATCAGATGTATTTTTCCAGTCCTCCTCTCTGATTCTATCCAGTATGTTCACGCATGTAGGGTTATGTTCAAGCTCATCCACAAAAGAGACAAGCCCTGCCAAGGGTAAGAGAACTGGCCTTAGAAGAATATTGATCATACTGGTTCCGCGAGGCCAACTCCCCACCTCAACACGGAGGTTCCACCCAACTCATAGTTAGTGCCTCGCATACTCTTCTGTAGGGTCTTAGCTAGGGCCCCATGTGTCACGGCCACGCGTATTGTCTCTTTTACTGTCACCGAGAGGTCAACACCCCGCTACAACGCATCGTAGCTACGAATCCACACGGCCCAAATCAAAGGTAGAGCCTCTCACAGCCACTTGGCAACTAGCAGGGCCTCACCTGTCACTGAGTAGTTAACATCTTCGCCAATAGGCACTAGTTAGCAAGCCAGATCTACACAAGGGATATTTCAAATGCCATCAAAGTTTTCCATGGTTAACTCATTTTCTTACAAGATGCTACAAGAAATAGCTCCAGGTGACGTTCTATCTTTAATAGACACTCTAACCCTGTCAATGCCAGGTCCCCCGCAGAATCCCCTGTTCCCGCCACTCTTACAGCCCTGAAGTCTGGCCTTGCTGAAATGTAACGGTTGCGCTTAAAGAACAATCAGCCCAGAGATCCTCTTCAGTTCAAAGAGACCTAATCATGCCTTAAGTTAGTTTTATCAATTACACAGGTAGATTTGTCTACCAATACTAAGGAAGCTTACGCTATATTTAAGAAATTGTGTATGACTTCAATATAATAAATGCGTTCCAATTGTAAATGGTTGCTTTCACAAATTTTTGCCACATCTCTTTGAAACTAGCCTACAATACAATTAAACTATACTTAGAGGAATTTAACATTACAAGTAGACACTATACACCAACAACTCCCATTTTTGTTTTCTTATTCAGGAGTGCTGAAAGGTGTCAGAGACCAAAACCCCACAAACCATCCAATACACTCCCTATAGACAGAAATCTTTGAGGGAGTCTTCAAATCAATCGTTAAACATCCCTTTAATAACCCTACCGTTGTAATTAAGTCAGCAGCTTACTTGGCTTTCTACGGTTTCTTGAGTCCAAAAAGAAAGAATTTTACTGTTGGAAAGCATTCGACCAATCATTACATTATATCTAAACAAACAAAATATATACAGGTGGATTGGCGCTAATAGTAAAGTGGAGAACAGCAACTACCCCCAAGTGCCAAAAAAAAAAATCACCAAAGGCACTATACAAGTACATAAAAGTGAAAAAAGGGGGGTGCTCAAAAGGTAATACAATATTATATATACATATTATATATATTCCATATATTTTTTATATGTTGATGACTTCTCCCTATGTTGTGGCTTAAATAAAATGTTTTAATAATCAGATTGCTGTAGTTATTATTGTTGCGATATTAATGTATTTTATTATTTGTCACTGATTGTATCTTTTATATATGAGTGGATTTACATGGACTGAAATGCCATCCTCAAAGATGGCATCTGTATGCAACATCATCCGGGTCAAAGAGCAGACCGCGTCAAAAGACTAAACACGTGACGACGCCAAATACGTAAGTGACGTCGGCGGAACACGGAAGTTATGTTATATGCACCTTTGAAGAAGACGGAAGTCAAAACGCGTTGTGCCCTGTATGTTTTTATTTTACTTTATGTCAAAATAAAAGTTCTTATAACCCTACCCATTTGGCTGTGATAGTTGTGGTATGGTTGGAAAAAGTACCTGGAGGAATTTCAAGTCAACATAGCTGGGAGAAGTAGATTGCTTGACAAGCTATTACAGTTAGAGCCTGCTATTTAAGTTTCTACAGATCGTGAGTGACCCATTACCTCTGCACTGTTGGTGTATAATTCTCCCTTACAGTATTATGCTATGTATATTCTGTTTATCTCTTCCAGATTGATCAAGTGAAATACTGATCGTATTATTGATGTACAAATATAAGTATAATAATGTATTATTACCTTTGAGCACCCCCCTTCTATATTACATTATATCTACTCCTCATACAACATATCAGTTGGGTATTTTCTAAATGGTGCCCGGTTCAAATTTTAGACTCATAATCAAAGACCAGGTTAGCCAGGTCCCCAACTTCCCCTTACTATCTTTAATAACTATGCTATTTTGTACATTTATTACTCCACCCAGGCCTTAATCTTTCCTCCTACTTGGGCCACTCATTCCATGTCAAAACAGCAACAGCAGCCTCTAATGGGCATGTTACGTCACACATAATTAGCAATATGAGACGTTGGATTACAATAGGAACATTCCTAACCCAGGATAGAAATCAGACTTTCAATAAGGTGACTAAATGGTTGTTAATTGTGAAATAATTACACTTGTTTTTATATTTTTGCAGGTCTAACCTCTCGTCGGTTTTTGGACACCTCAACCGCCTGTGTCTTTATCAAACTACATACTTTTAATTGTACGTTCACACATATATATTTGCCATGTACCTTTAAAGTGACACTCAGTGGAATTGCAGTACTCAACAACCTCCACAGAGCAATGGGTAAACCATCTGTCTAGTACACCGACAGACTGACTAGGAGTTACATCACAACTCAGAAAAACACACTTTAATACATATGACAGCATGCTTATATAGACCAACTGTAAGTGCTGAATAACCTTTTCCATCCTTTAATTTATCAAAGACCAAGTTCCATTCTGTATGCTCTATTCTTTAAAAATCCTACTTCAAAAATTACTTGGGGAAAAAAAATCCTACTCAACTACAAAATGCAGGGCAAAGTGTTTTGTATTAAATATTTTAAATGGGTAGTACAAACTTGCTTCTTTCACCATAACAGCCACTACAATCGATGGAATCAACATATGTTGAGTGTTCTCTATGCCAAAAGATAAGAGCACCAAGTTAAAAATGTTACTCAGAGCATCAGAAGCATGACAAAATGCTGTTCTGCAACAGTTGTCCTTTTACTTGACTCCAAACCTCTAGAATGTCGGGAAAGACATCCAGCTACTGCAGAGTCCAAGAGAACACAAGCAAGCCTGTGACTCTCGTTCCGATATGTTCAGAACAAAAATGTGTTCACTTTTTGGTTTGCTGTGTTTCATATTGAAGTGGTCAATGTGCCTTAAACAAGTCTTTAAAGTGACACTAAATGGACCCAGGACATGCAGATCCCCAGTGTTTACATCGCAAGGTTTAGACAGCCACTACAGGCACTTCCTGCATTCTCACAGAGTTTAAATCTGTAAAACGACATTGAACGTCCGGAGGCAGTGGGACACTCTAGTGGTCCTTTAAGTAATGTAATCAAACATTTACAAACTTCTGAAAAAGCATCAATGTATAGAAATAATGTTTCCCCTAATACAGAACATACACAGACAAATCAAAAGTGTAGCAGAGTGTCAAAGCACATAATATATGTTCATATTGAATAGAACAAAAATTAACCTTTAGCATGTGTTCACATTTGAACACAGAGTGCCTGATGACCATCTTTACAAATTATGCTGGCACTGAAGCTAGTGTAACACCTATAAATTAGAAAGTTGGCAGCTGCAACTTGCTGGAGACCAAGTAAGTAAAAAAACAAAACCCCACAAGGGACATGTTCACTTTAGAACCCAACAGTGTATTCTTCTGTATCCCGTGAGAAACACTTTAGTGCTATTGATTAGAAAAAGGACCATACAAATAATGTTTTGACTGTTTTAGTTTATTTCTGTACATCAGAGAAACTTTACTCCCGAGCCATGAGCTTCTGCTTTTTCAGTTTTTTCTGGGAGATCTAAAAAAACAAAAAAAACAAAAAAAGGATTCAGTTAAAAAATACTTTGCTTTGGGTCATATTTAAATCTATAAAATACATTTAAGTACAATATAATGAAGATCCTGGCACACACACATCATAGCTATACAAATATTCTATAAAGCTGCTTGACTTGCATAAAGCTAGTGATAATGTGTAAAATCTACAAAATTTAAACAAATAATATAGTTCTGGGTAAAGTCTTTGATATCAAGATTAAATGCCGGAAAATATTTAGTTGTGCAATAAACATGTAGGAGAATAAAAGAGCCCCATTGGCAGTCAAATTAATAAATTGAGAAGTTTAAAGGACCACTATAGTGCCAGGAAAACACGTTTTCCTGGCACTATAGTGCCCTGAGGGTGCCCCCACCCTCAGGGACCCCCTCCCGCCGGGCTCTGGAAAGGGGAAAAAGGGTTAAACTTCGCTTTTTCCAGCGCCGGGTGGGGAGCTCTCCTCCTCGTCGGCTGCATGCGCACGTGCGGCAAGAGCTACGCGCGCACCCGGTCGCATAGGAAAGCATTATCAATGCTTTCCTATGGACGCTTGCGTGCTCTCACTGATTTTCACAGTGAGAAGCACGCAAGCACCTCTAGTGGCTGTCAATGAGCCGCACAGCCGCTAGAGGCTTTGGGGGAAGGCAACCCATTCACAAACATAGCAGTTTCTCTGAAACTGCTATGTTTATAAAAAAAATGGGTTAACCCTAGCTGGACCAGGCACCCAGACCACTTCATTAAGCTGAAGTGGTCTGGGTGCCTAGAGTGGTCCTTTAAGGTGGGCTACAGCAAGCTGAAGTGGTATACTGCAAGTTGTCACTGCATGTCAGAGGGCCCATGTTACATTCACCAGGGGTGAATTTCTATTCACCAATGACTAGAGTCCAGATGGAAAATTGTCCCAGAATACATGATCATGTTTTTATGCAGTACAACTTGGGTGGCAAAATGCAAAATCACCTATATGTGATCAAGACTACCAGGATGATTTACTACTCTTGTAGTTTGATATCAATGGAAATTGCCTTTGGCCACCTTAAAATAAGTGTTTTACACTCCAAGTATTACCCTAGCTAATTACAGCAACAAACAATATAATATAGGCAAAGTATACCTCTCACTAAATAAACAAGTAAATCCTACTCAGCTCAGGTGGCTCAGATTAAATATTTGTTTCATGTTTAAATCCAAAGGTGTCCTAAGATAGTCATCATTGCCACCATCCTTTGACAACAAGTCACCCATCCCAAAGTGGACAGTCCAGAAAATAGTGGGATAACTCACCTTTTTCTTTTGAGCCAACTCCTCTTCAGGTTTTGGGACAATCTGCTCCTTTTCTGTTAAAATCATCTCGATGTGGCATGGTGAGCTCATGTAAGGGTTGATGCGTCCATGAGCACGGTATGTACGCCTGCGCATCTTGGGGGCCTTGTTGACCTGAATGTGCTCAATGACCAAGGAATCAACATCCAAACCCTACAAACAGAACAAAAATATTTTTGAAGCATCCAGTGCAATCATGTAAAGACTGTAAAGTAAATCTGTAAACCACAGTAACAAGCTATTATTGTAGTATAGGTTATAGTGTAGGGAGATCAGTTTCCTTGCACAATTCTGACAGAAGTGTGTGCCTTTTCCCATTATTGACAAAAGGAGGAATTTTATGGTTGTCCTGTGGCAGTACAAATTTTGTACACCCTTACACTAGAAGCCCATCTCACTGCGAATGTGGCAGTCAGCTTTTGCACATTTTTTTATTTTAAAATAAGCAAACACTTAAAGCAATGCATCTTATATGGATACATGTTCAACTAAATTGTTCTGGCAATTGTCACCTGTAACTAAAATAGGGGAATATAATACACAACAGTGACTCATATTACAGGAACACTATAGGGTCAGGAACACACTTTAACCCACTATTTAGGTGGCTTGCCCTCCATTAGCCCCACTATAAAGTTTAAAACTTCCCTTATTTCCATGCGCTGTGTGGGTCCGCTGGCACTGGCCACGCCTCCTTTGCGTCATCAAAATGGCCGATTTCTAGCCAATCTAAAATAGGGAAAGCACTGGATTGGCTAAAATCAGCACGGGGCGGGCCAAATGCCATTTCGGCCAATCAGGACCTCCTCATAGACATGCATTGAATCATCGCATCTCTATGAGGAAAATTCAGCGTCTCCATGCAGAGCGTGGGGACGCTGAATGTCAGGGCTGCTTTTTCGGCAGCACTGACCCAGGAAGCACCTCCAGTGGCCATCTAAGGAGTGGCCACTTGGATGTGTCCCTAGAGGCAATGTAAACACTGCCTTTTCTATGAAAAAGCAGTGTCTGCATGAAGAAAGTCTGAAGGGAACTAAAATACTCACCAGAACTACATTAGGCTGTAGTTCTGGTGACTATAGTGTCCCTTTAAATAATCTTTTCATGTTTAAAAGATTCCTAGCCAAAACTAAATTTCCAGTCAAAGCCAAGAGAGCAGATATATACATTTTGCGCTTTCCAGTCAATCAACAAATCTTAGCAAAACCGATTTAACTCTGCAGGTCGTCGTAATCTACATTTCCACCAAATCTCAGAGTTTTCTGTCAAGTCTAGACTGTTCTACATGTTTGTTTCTAAATAACAATGTGGTGTCTTTCTATACTCTACTTCAAATATTTTGGTGGCCAAACTAAATAATAAATCAGAACAATTAAAACCTAGATTTGCACCACACGAGACGCACAGAACAGAAACTCAAGCCACTCAACCCAGAGTGCTAAAATGAGGTCTCGCTATAAACCACAATGTTGTTGATAAAATGTAATAAGAATTGCAAATTAATGGATGTGACTACCACCACATCCCCTCCTTTATTCTGTACCCTATACCTCACCTTAAAATTGAAAAATAAAGAAAAATTTGACACAATTTAGATTTAGTTTTTGGCCGTGAGTTACACAATATAGTTCCTATGGTATCCAAATAAATAAATTAAAGAGACACTTTCTCCTTAAAGAAAAAATAAATAAATATTCATGTAGTGGTTTAAAGGGCCAGGTTCCTAGCAGCAGAGTGTTAAATGGTTTTTGAATATTTTAACATCTAAGTTGTTCCCCAGGTGCCAATATGCACAGATTTTAGCCTTCTATGCTTGGCCACCATAATGAGCAAAGGAGGGAATCAATTGGTACCAATAAATCACACTGTACAACTCGGGTCGCAAAATGACCTACCAGGAAGATTTACTAATCTTTTAGTTAGATATAAAGGGAAATTGCCTTTGGCCACCTTAAAATAAGCGTTTTACACTCAAAGTATTACCCTAGCTAATTACAGCAACAAACAATATAATATAGGCAAAGTATACCTCTCACTAAATAAACAAGTAAATGCTATTCAGCTCAGGTGGCTCAGATTAAATATTTGTTTCATGTTTAAATCCAAAGGTGTCCTAAGATAGTCATCATTGCCACCATCCTTTGACAAGTCACCCATCCCACAGTGATGTGGGTTCCTGGCAGATAAAGCAGCAAGAGCTGAAGAAAACATGACAGGACCACTAGAGAGCTTTAGGTCAGACACTTGAAGAGTAAAATCTTCAAAGACACTCATGTATTAAAGATATACCTTGAGCTCTGCATTGCTCTCTGCATTTTTCAACATGTGCAAGAGGAAGTCTGCACTCTTTTTAGGCCAACGTCCCTGTGTCCAGTTCCATTGTTTGGCCTGTGCGCATAAAAAGAATAAAAAAAAATATATTTAAACATTTCAGGTGGTAAAGAAAAAACAAACCCACCACCCCCAAAGCAAGATGTAAAGAACAATTTGGTTTATTCATTAAAGTGTGAATTTAAGTTGAATTGGAAAAATGTCAGTCAACTATATTTTCAGTTTGGGGTATTTTGGCAATTACACTTTAATGTAAACATGAATATGCCAAAATGAACTTCAAAATTAATTTAAAACTGCAGATGGAAACAAGAAGGTATGAATCCATCTTGTATAATAGCATGGAATATAATGTCTTCAGAGATGCTCACAGAGGCCTGCATTCTAGAATCTCCAGAAACACATTGTAGGCAAATTGCTTAGGATGATATCCTTAGATTTACTCAGGGATATCCTGAAATGCAAGCTCTGAGCTAAGCAGCGTTAACTGAAAGTTCATAATCATAAGTTATTTTTTTTTATACAAAGCAATAAAACACAAATATTAAAAAGAAATCAAAGTTGCTCAGAACATAGTATTTCTTTTCATGGGTAATCCAAAGGTGTCCTAAGATAGTCATCATAGCAACCATTTTACTATAAAGCACTCAGACAAGAAATGACACATGAATCTTAAGGTATGGAGACAACCCCAATAAAAAAAAAAACCACAACACTCACCTGGGCACATCTGCCAACACCACCATTGTAACGACGGAAAGGAACACACTGCTTCTTAATGGTGACATCTTTTAAGAATTTAGTGGCTTTACGGATGTGCATGCCCTTGATAGCTTGAGCCGTCTCACGAGTGTTCTAGGAAAAATAAAGGACTCTTCGTAAAGCAACTCAGACTAAATAGAAACCATGTATTGTCTAAAGTCGAATTCTAAACTTTTGCAATTACACCTCATCAAAATAACCTAATTACTTTAAAGGAACACTATAGTGTTAGGAATACAAACATGTATTCCTAACACTATAGTTACCCCTCCCAGTGCATTAAAAGGCAAGATTTCCGAACATTTTCTCCGTTGCGGCGCTGGTTTTGCCACAGCGAGTCCCATTCCATGGCTGGCTGAGATCAATCTTTATGACCTCAACCAATCCAATACTTTCCTATAGGAAAACAATTTGAGGCTATTTTGCATCAATGAACCTATGGGGACCGCTCAGCGTCTTCATGCAGAGCATGGGGACGCTAAACACCAGAAATAGGAAGCACCTCTAGTGGCCATCTGAGTCACTGTCACTAAAGTGACTCAGGAGTTACTAGGCAGCAATGTAAAGACCACTTTTCTCTGAAAAGGCAGCCTTTACATTGAAATGCCTGCCGGGACATGCTACAGACACCAGAACCAACACATTAAGCTGTAATGGTTCTGATGAGCAGTGTCCCTTTAGGTGCTTTGCTCATGTATCCACAAAACGTCCATGAATGGCCGTTTTCTAATTTAGAGTTTTTTGCTCCAAGGCAGGGATTACAATTTAAAGTCTGATTTTACTACTCAGGCCTTAAAAGGATACTTTCCACTGCATGCATTAGTAGACGCACCAGGGATAAATTGTCACTTGCCAACAGCTAGTGAAAATTTTGAGCCCTGCTCCAAGGTGTTTAAACTCATAATTGTAGTATTGAGGCAAAAACAGCAAAGCTACAGAAATTTGGAAGATTATTGCAAAATACTTAGTTACTTTATCCAAAATTCTGCAAATTGACATTAAAATAAATACCGTTAATAAATGAGAAATTACATGGTCACAATTCTAGCAGTTATATGTACATCTAAGATTTGATTCTGAACAAAACTAAAAAAGTTAAAATGCATAATACTGCTTCCGATTCAGTGTACAAACATCAGCACCTGGTATGCAAATACAAGCCACTTAATACGAATAGAAACACTTATGGGATTTAATTTGCAATCATACATAACTACTGAAACGATGCTTAAAGCGTTACTCCAAGCAAAATGAGCAGTTCAGTGGTCATGGTGTTTGGAGTCTATGTGTAGCTTTTCATTATGACACACTGTATGAACAGAAATATTTAGGCTAGCTGCTGGAGGTGTAACTCCAGGATAATCACTAGCCTGCCCAACATGAGAGTTCCGGCCGGCTAATGTAAATTCTCTGCACATTCTTTAGGTTTGCCCATTACTATTTATATAGCACCAACATATTTCAGAGCGCTATTCAAAATCACAAAATGGGGGTATTTGACATGTAAATTTACATACGGAACATAGCAGATAAGAGGACAAGGCGGCCCTGCTCATGTCTGGTAGAATACATTCATAATTCAAGTGTAGTTGCTGCTCAGAAATCTTATTATTTTCATGATTAATCCAAAGGTGTCCTAAGAAAACATCACTGCAGCATATAACAGAGTAAAAGCTGGAATTATCTTTTTTAAAAGCAAGACTTTGAATTTACCTTAAAGTGCACTCTGAGATTGGAACCCCTTGCCTTGCATGCTGAAAAAAAAAAAGATATACAAATATATATTTTTTTAAAAAGGGAAAAAAGTTATTTAACATGTATGTTTGAATCTAAAATCCTAGACATTGTTGCATGTAGACGTTACTTACATTTTGTGGGGTTTTCCGGGTCAAGAGAGTAGCGGACCATTTTCAGAGATTAACTAGACAAGAGAATGGAGAGAAAATAAAAATAAACCACAAACCATCAAAACACTGTCATGGACTTGACAAAATTACCTGAATCTATTACAGCTGCTCAGAAATTAAAGATATTTTCATGTTTTTATCCAAAGGTGTCCTAAGATAGTCATCATTGCAGCTGAAAATGTCACCAAAAGTTCAATTTTACTTTTGAAAAAGGCGACAGAAAGACAAAAAAACCCCCCTCAAAAACAACTTTGGAGTTTCTAAACAAGCACAAGCCATTGGAATGGTAAAAGGACCACATAGATTATATTAAAAGCTCTTTCAGATTCAAAAGCACACATGCCGTTTAATTCAGGACCTATTAAGCAATCCCCCAATATCAACAGCACAGACCAACATTAAAAGATTAAAAAAAATGAATCTGATTTTGCTTGAAACCCAGTTGCTCTTTCAGCTAATGCTGATAAACAAACTGCTACAAACCTTTTAAAATCTGCAACATTCGAGCACATAGCCAGCTAAGGAAACCAATGTAATAATACTAAACTGAGAACATAACCCAAGAAAATGCCCCTTACTACTAACACTTGGTATTAAACCCAAACAGTCTGCACAGCATGGGGAACTAGACACTGTAGCTCACACCACAACCACTTACAGTACACCATGCACAGTGATACACTTTACACAGACACACATACTATTAATAAATGAATGGCAGGCTGTATGGTCTCCCTGTACAGCACAGTCACAGCCACCTTGCACTGAGCAATAAATACCATTATTACACGTCTCAAGAGCACACTGTACATATTGCTCTCTACACTGCGGTATATGCAGGCGCTCCATGAATGATAATAGTCAGTAACCTTAGTAATCGCTCCATACACAGCCTGCAGGCTCCCGGCATACCAGGGGTTAATCAATGGCTGCTCTGAGAGCCGGGGTTAGCTGTCATGCCATGCAGACCCGGGGAGCAGGCCACAACCCCGGCCTCTCCTGAAACACTGTCCGGCACCCCCCCTTCTGCATCACCCAAGCGCCCCCATATTACCGCCCCGCCGCTCTCGGGGTGTCCGCCCGTTACCCCGGCATGATTGGGGAGGCTCACGGGGAAGGATGGTTTAGATACAGGGCGGATTAGACTCCGGGCCTGAGAGCCGATCTCGTCAGCCATGTCTCACTCACCTCAGGCCGCGCAGGAAGAGGGAAAGCAAAGCATTCTGGGAGCGGTATCACAGCTCTAGGATCTCGCGAGAGTGGAAAAAAAAACAAAAAAACTAAACAACGAGATCTTATTGGTTGGGACAGCGGCGGCCATGTTGCCAACCAAGTGCCAACCACCTGTGTGAGCACATCTGCTGCTCAGAGGAGAGGACACAGAGTTTCCAACTCTGAGATTTATTATTTGTATACATTTATAGCTTTGTGCTTTACTTGACATGAAAGACAGAAATGAATATTCTGCTGGTTACGTTTAAACAGTGTAGGAATGTTTATACACTGAGCAGAATGCTGCCTGGGGAATGTCTGTAGGGAAAACAGGACTCCTGGACCCCTTTTTGTCCATGTACATATGAACAGTGCAGTATTGTTAGCAGTCTCGTTATAAATCCCCGTACCACGTTTTGTCTTAAAGGGACCACGTCTGGGTGCACTGTCCCCTTTGTACTTAGTGCTACAATGTTAAACATTGCAGTTCCAGAGAAAGCCGGCACCTCCTGGATCGAAACGGACCTATGGTCCGGTATCTGGCCCTGGATGTCGACATCCAGCGTCAGATTTTTACTCATAGGAAAGTATTGATTCAATGCTTTCTTTGGGGAGGTCTAATGCACGTGTGGTGAAATTTTAACAGAGAAGGGAAGGGAGTTCCACAGGAACGGTGTAGCCCTAGAGAAGTCTTTAAGGCGAGCATCAGAGATTGGAGTACGGACAGAGGATAGACGTGGTTCTTTGGCAGTGCGCAGGGGCCTAGACGGGACACGTCTGTATTAGGAAGAGTAGATAGTTTGGAGCATTAGATTTGTAAGCAAGAACCAGAATTTTAAATTAAGCCCTATATCTTACAGGAAGCCAAAGCAGGGACTGACATGGGGGGGCGGGGGCCATGGGAAGTGCAGCCAGACAGGAAGATGAGCCTCACCGTCGCATTCATTATAGACTGTAATGGGGCAAGTTGGAAGCACGTAAGACCACTGAGAAGCTGATTACAGTAGTCAAAGCGAGAGATAGTGGCATGGACCAGTACCTTAACCGCGTACGGCGTTAAGTACAGGTGGATTCGTGCTATATTTCTGAGATGAAAGCGGCCTGATTTCATAACTGATTGGACGTGAGGGGTGAAGAAGAGGTCGGAGTCAAAGAGAACACCTAGTCAGGGAGCTTGTGAGGTGGAACTGATGGTAGCACTGTTAACGTGGAGGGAGACAGAAACATGAGTAGCAACACTTGAGGGAGGAAAGACCAGAAGTTTTGGACAAGTTGAGTTTAAGGAAGTGAGCAGCCATTCAGGTAGAAATAGCAGAGAGGCAGTCTGAGACACGAGTCAAGAGAGGTGGCAGGAGATCAGGAGAGGACAAATAGATTTGCATGTCATCCTCATAGAAATCATATTGGAAGCCAAAGGAGCTGATAAGTTTACCAAGGGAGGCAGTATAGATTGAGAACAGTAGGGAATCAAGGACTGAGCCTTCAAAAACACCAACAGAGAGGGGTTGGGGACAGTTGTGTATCCTGGTTTTGTGCTGCCCTAGGCAGGACAAAACTCAGGCGCCCCCCACCCCTCCCCCCGTGCAACCCCCACCCATCCCTTCCCCCGCCCCGCCTTCTAAATACACACACACACATTCACTGACAGATACGCATACACTAGCTAACAGAAACACACACTCACTGACACACACAGACACACACTCACTCACTAGCAGACACACACTCACTGACACACACACTCACAGGCAAACATACACACACAGTCAGACACGCACACACAAACACACTCACTAACTAGCAGACACACACACTCACTGAAACACACACTCACATGCTAACAGACACTCACTAACAGACACTCACTAACAGACACACACTCACACACTAACAGACACACACACTAACAGACACACACACTAACAGACACACACTAACAGACACACTCACACTAACAGACATACACACACACTCACTTTAACACATTTATTTTTTTTAACGCTAGGGAGCTGAGCAGACCGCTCAGAGGAAGAGCTCCCTCGCCAGCCACCCGCCCAGCGCCGCCCGCCCAGCCCAGCATGTTAGTTAGCCGCGAGGCTAACTAGGCATTTGCCCTGGGCATTTGGGGGGCGGCTTTTTTTGCCGCCCCCTGGAAAATGCCGCCCAAGGCAAATGCCTTGTTAGCCTCGGGGCTAATACGTCCCTGGTTGAGGAGAAGTGGCAGAGCCAGAAAAAGAAACACTGAAATAACACCGAGAGAGGTAGGAGGAGCACCAGGAGAAAGCAATATCTCTTAGACCGAAATTACAGAGCATGGAAATAAGCTATTGATGATCAACAGTATCAAAAGCAGCAGAAAGGTCAAGGAGAATTAGGATAGAATAGATTGGAATATAAAAACAGGAGTAGGAAGGATGACGATTGAGTGTTAGTGGTTAAGAAAGTACAGGAGTGTATTGATTAGAGGCAGTGTGTACATGCTTATCTAAATTTGTGTGTGACAGTCTACCTATAAATGCCATAATGAGCTTGCGGTGGGATGGACAGGTATCAGAGTTTTTTGCAGCAGAAGTGTGGCTGGAAACGTTTAAAATCAGGCTGTGGGAGAGAGAAATATGAGGGTCAGATAGGCCTCCAATAAAACTGAGGGAAGGGGATATGCATCTAAGCACAGAGATGATGTGATGGTTGTTCAAGCAAAACAATCACTTGGATAGATATCAACAAAATAAGGGGTGTAAATGAATCAATTACTCAAGAGCAAATAGGTCCATATCTACGGGAATTATTTGAGTCTCTATTACTCCAACAAAACTGAAAGCATTTCCATTTATCAACTAACAAATTCCAAATCGATAGATAAGAAACTTCTTAGATACATCTTAATATGATTCTCCAATAAACACACAAAATATAAGATTCTACAGACCACAATGAAACAAATCTACACAGTGAAGAATATAAGGATATAAAGTTTTTTTAGGACATTAACTTCGCAACAAGAGCAGCAGGATTAAAATTTATAGACCAGACCCCAAATTTTGAATCCAACAATATACGATACAAATGGATTTTCCCTACAGCATTACTACTCTCCCACAACGGTGGCTCCTATTCTATCTCAAGCCCTAAGCTGCTGCAAGAAAAATTGACCCAGTATAATATTATCTTAAAATCTGGAGATAGAAATGAATGAAATGTGTTTTGGTCCTTTTTTCCCCCTCCTATTTCTTCCCTTAAATTAAGAGATGGGTGCGAGGGAAGGTGAAGGTAAATGGTGGCAGACTTTGGATGCCAAAAGAGCCAAAAACTGATGAGTAATATGATAACGCATATTAAATTTACTGGCATAAATCTGCTTTTTATCGTTAAATTGTAAATTGATTTGTTAGGAAGGAGCAGATTCTCTAGTAATTAAAAAAAAATCCTGTAGTTATCTACCAATAAATATCAAAGAAGGGAAAAGGGGGAGGAAAAGGTAAAAGAGAGATTTTTTTTTTCAATACTATAAATTAAAGCTAAAGTTAAATATTGGCATTCTGCATAATATTAATGAAATTTGACTCTGAGAGGGAATGAATAGGATCAAAGAAAGAAAGAAAGAAAGAGGGAATAATAGACAATGGAATTCAAACAAAATAACTTAAATTTCACAAGCACCATAAAAACATATTTTTATTTTTATTCTTGTCAAACATATTAAATATACCCTTTATTTAAACAAACTTTCTTCCTCTTGATGGCAGTTATGCACTTGTAATAATCAACTTACCAATTTATTACCTCGGTTATTTTAGATTTGTTCATATTAGCTAATTTCACTTTTGATAAATTAATCTATGTGACCCATCACATTAGAGGTTTTTTTTGTCAAAATATACCAAATATGCTCGCTAAACACATTTTCTTTCTCTGGATGGAAGTTATGCACTAGTAGTATACCTGGGTTATTTACACTTTTTGATAAGAGAATTTATGGAATCCATAAACATTTAATCATTGTTGATATTTTGGATGGTAGAGTAACAATACTTGGTTTATTTTATTGTCACTTAAAAAGTTAGTCCAGAACAAGTGTTTGAGTCATACCTAATTGGCTTACTTACTTAGATTAATTGTACTCTTAGTAATGGAATCTCTTACAATAAATATTAGATATGCACTTTATTGAAAGAAATTCACTTCTTCCTGATGGAAGCTTTGTGCTAAGGCACTAAGGCACTAAGGCACTTAAATGAACACCTAGGCTATTTTAGATTTGTCTATTTCAGCCAAATTGCACTTTTGATAATGCAATCTATGCAATTTACTATATCAGGGCTTTTTATTTTGGTCAAATATATTAAATACACACTTTATTTAAACAAAATTAATTCCTCTTGATGGAGTTATGCACAGGTAATATTCAACTTAAACGAATACCTTAGGTTATTTTAGCTCACTTGCATATTTGATAAGGGAATTTATGCAACCCATCCATTAGAGTTTCTTGGTTTTTTTCTCACCTTATAGACACTTGGTTTATGTGATTGGAGAATAAATCTAATGTTTTAAGGTACCAATCAGTTTGTTAAATATTAAATTGCTCCCTTCAACTTATTCTTTTTCTGCATTGGCGGCAACAGGGGTGAGTTGAGAACACTATGGTTTATTTCAACTCTTGAATGGTGAGAATGATAATTTGTGTGAATTGAATTACGGTTTATTCAGGGG